CTACCACTACTGCTGCTGTTGCTACTGCTACTACTACCACTGCTGCTACTACTACTACTACTGCTACCACTACTACTACTACTACTACTACTACTACTACCACTACTACTACTACTACTACTACTACTACTACTACTACTACTACCACTACTACTACTACTACTACTACCACCTACTACTACTACTACTACTACTACTACTACTACTACTGCTACTACCACTACCACTACCACCACCACCACCACCACCACCACCACCACCACCACTACCGCCACTACCGCCACTACTGGGGAGGCCCACGGCCGCATGGAGGAATTAGGCCCCGCAAGCCGTCCTCGTCGCAGGTCCTCTTGGCTGACCAGTTGGCGCAGCTACAGAAGCGAAAGCAAGAAGCGAAGGAGAAGGTGAAGGCTTTGAAAAAGCAAGAACGTGCGGCGCTACGCCGCAAAAGCAGGCTGGTGAAGGCGGCACGTTTCTAACTGAAAGCCACGTGGCAAAAACGCATGCTGTTCAAATGCTTGGGCTACCTAATGTGCAACCTCTTCGTCGTAGACCTGGTGCTTAAACCGTGGTTTCAATCCGAGCTTGCCACCCACGAATTGAAATCTTTGCAGCAGGCGGCTAAGCAGCTGTCCGTTGCTGATCTGAACGAGCTTGCACGTGTGAAAGCAGAGCTGGCGGAGCAGCAGGAGGGCTGAAAGTGCAGCGTTTTTTTCCTTTGTGTCGTAAGACAGCCAGAAAGCGCTGTCGTATGGCAGATGTCTAAGAAGAGCCGATCACGAATTGGCACCACAAAAGGCTCTAGGTTTTCGACTTTGTGTGTAAGACAGCCAGAGAGCGCTGTCGCATGGCATGATGTCTCGAATGGGCACCGCAAAAGGCTTTCCAGGCAAGCAGTGACCCGTTTCAGGACGTCAGTCTTGCTGTCTTAGACAAAGGTACGACCTTGGCGTGCTCAACCTTCAAAGCGGACTTGCGGACGCAGGCCACCCATATCGCGCCGTAACGTTGTTGCAGCTGTGGTCGTATCGCCGCTGAGACGTTTTGACTTTCAGGGATTGGTTCGTGTTTAACCCAACCGACGACCGCCAGTGAAAGTATCAGACGTGGTTTTTGGTTGACTTGGACCCATGTGACAAACAGCAGATGTGGAACGGATGGTCTCGGGCGGTTTAGACTAAAAAACGCGGATTGCTGTTATCCTAAACCCTCCTGCAGGGCCGCTGAGACGTTTTGACTTTGAGATTGGTTCGTGTTTGACCCAACAGACGACCGCCAGTGAAAGTATCAGACGTGGTTTTGGTTGACTTGGATCCAAGTGAGAAACAGCAGATACGGAACGGATGGTCTTGGGCGGTTTACGCTAGACGCCAGTCGTGTGTGTTTTTACTTTTGTAGTCGACAGTGTTTTCTGCAAACAAGCTTGAGCATGCTTTGCCGCGCCGCCCCGCCTGTCAAAACTTGTCGACATAGAGCGCTCTCTACAAAAGTTATCACCCGCCCTCCCAACCCTTGGGGGTAAAGAAAGAGAGACCGCCTTGCTTATTGTTGGCACGTGAGTTTAATTAGCGTCTCCACTCACAGCAATCGTTTGTCAGAGAAGTAAATGCACGCGGGTTGCTGTTATCCTAAACCCTCCTGTAGGGCCGCTGAGACGTTTTGACTTGCTTCAGACGCCTCCGAATCCTGTGTTTTTTCGCATTCTGGCAGCTATGTGTGCTGGAAACTGCGAGGTTGGAGGGTTTCCGTCCCCAAATCGTCGTGTTTGTTGCATTCTGACAGCGATGTGTGCTGGAAACTGTTATGAAACGAAGAATTCCGCCCCCAAGTCGTGGTATTTGCAACATTATGGCATGTGTGTGTGTGTGTGCTGGAAACCACCGTGAAACGAGGATTTCCGCCCCCAAGTCGTGGTATTTGCAGCACTTTCGCAGCCTCCCATGCCTAAAACTGTGGAAAAACGCACACCCCAAAATAGATTGCGAAACGGGAGGTGAGTTACTTTCCGTCTTTTCCTCTTTTAAAATCTCAACCTTCTGTATTTCTTTTCAGAGAAAGCACCTAAAGTAACTCACCTTCCGTTTCGCAATCTATTTTGGGATGTGCGTTTTTCCACAGTTTTAGGCATGGGAGGCGGCCGAGGTACTGTAAATACCATGTCTCAGGTGCGGAAATGTATGTTTTTCTAAAGTTTTGGGCATGGGAAGCTGCCAAAGTACTGTAAATACCATGTCTCAGGGGCGGAAATGCGCGTTTTTCTATAGTTTTAAGCATGGGAGGTTGCCGAAGTATTGTAAATACCATGTCTCAGGGGCGGAAACCTTGGTTTCAGTGTAGTTTGACTGTTTCGGGAAACGTTTCGATTGCAGTGAAACAGACTCAGGTTGCAGTGCGTACAGTGTGTGTAACTAGGTTCTGTACAGTTACTTGACAGCACCTGTTGAGCGCAGAAGCTTCTTGGAGCAAGCCTACGGCTAGCGGACATGTGACTAGTCCTCGTTGAACGCAGAAGCTTCTTGGAGCTCGCAGCACATTTTTTTCGGAGGTTATTTCCAGTCATTGACGTTGGTGTCCAGCACACAATCACAGCATCGCGTGCAGATCCAAGTCGGGTTTGAGAAAGAGTGGCAAACGCGCAGTCTGCAATGACATGTATTGTGGCTGCAAGTCTGCTGCGGTGAGCGTCTTGTGACTTAGACTAGCTTGTGGCTTGTTTAGAACGGGATGCGTGCCCTGCCTGCAGTGGCCATCAGAAGCTTAATGCGGATCTCAGGATCTTTCGCGTGTTCGTGTTTCGAGGTGTGCCAGGACGCGGATGGTCCCTGAGATTTCTGCAGCAGTTCCAAAACCCTTCTGAGCAGTCACACATAAGCAAGCCACAGAGCATGCCAACTTGTAACCCCTTGCGGTCTAGTATCATGTGCAGCCGCAGTGTTTTGATGGCTGATGTCAACTTGTTTTTTTCTTCAAGCTGATACACAGCCAAACATTCAAATAACCTTGAAGAAATCATACTGAATCAGAAGGATTTGTCCGTGATGCTGTGCACAAGCGGCATGCTCTGCAACATAGGTCTTTAATTGGTGGGAATCTGGGCTCTGAATGTATTGCACTCGACTGCGCGGGTATCTCAGCTTCTGCACGGCTCTTGAAGTCTCGCTGGCACAGGCGGGAAGGCGTTGCAACTACCCAGCAGCTTCCAGAGTTTGACACTTCTTGGCAGGTCTGCAACATCTTCAAGTCTCGCTGAGGCGAGGAGGCGTCCCAACTTCCCAGCAGCTTGCATTTTGACACTTCTCGGCAGGTCTGCAACATCTTGAAAGCTCGCTGGCACAGGCGAGAAGGCGTTGCAACTACCCAGCAGCTTGCAGAGTTTGACACTTCTCGGCAGGTCTGCAACATCTTGAAAGCTCGCTGAGGCGAGGAGGCGTCCGAACTACCCAGCAGCTTGCAGAGCTTGACACTTCTCGGCAGGTCTGCAACATCTTGAAGTCTCGCTGGCACAGGCGAGAAGGCGTTGCAACCCAGCAGCTTGCAGAGTTTGACACTTCTTGGCAGGTCTGCAACATCTTGAAAGCTCGCTGAGGCGAGAAGGCGTCCGAACTACCCAGCAGCTTGCAAAGCTTGACACTTTTGTGCAGGTCTGCAATATCTTGAAAGCTCGCTGAGGCGAGGAGGCGTTGCAACTTCCCAGCAGCTTGCAGAGTTTGACACTTCTTGGCAGGTCTGCAACATCTTGAAAGCTCGCTGAGGCGAGAAGGCGTCCGAACTACCCAGCAGTTTGCAGAGCTTGACACTTTTTGGTAGGTCTGCAATGTCTTGAAAGATCGCTGGCACAGGAGGCGTCTGCGCGAAAAGCCTTGCCAAATTTCAGAAACATCGCAGCTAAATGCCGTATCTAATGTTGTAGCCGGCGTTTTATCAGTTTGTAGGTTCGTTCGATACGTAAATTTTAGCGGTAACAAAAAATCTGCTGCCGCGTGTGGCAGATGCTAAGATGCGAAACACTTGTTGCCAAAGTTCACGAAACATCGCAGCCAAAAGCCGTATCTGATGTTGTAGCCGGACTTTTTAACTGCTTGTTTTCGGGAGTCTGGCCACAGATTCGATGCAGCAGCTCGAAAAGACACCAGCAGCTGCCGCTTTTAGGGGCCTGAAAGCCCGAAACCAAAATCAAAGTAGCAGACGCGTTTTTGGGGGCCTTGAGACTCTGCCAACAAAATCCTAACAGCAGACGTTCATTTTCGGGAGTCTGGCCACAGATTCGATGCAGCAGCTCGAAAAGACACAAGCAGTTGCCGCTTTTAGGGGCCTGAAAGCCCGAAACCAAAATCAAAGTAGCAGACGCGTTTTTTTTGGGGGCCTTGAGACTCTGCCAACAAAATCCTAACAGCAAACGTTCATTTTCGGGAGTCTGGCCACAGATTCGATGCAGCAGCTCGAAAAGACACAAGCAGTTGCCGTGTTTTAGGGGCTTCAAAGCGCGAAACCGAAATCAAAGTAGCAGACGCGTTTTTTGGGGCCTTGAGACTCTGCCAACAAAACCCAAGAGACGTTCTTTTCAGCAGCAGACAGTGTTTGAGAGGCCTGAAAGCCAAATCCGTAGCAGACGTTCTTTTGGGGGGTGAGTGAATGACTGAGAAGAGCGTGCTGTCCGTTGGCGTGTTTTCTGTGCGAGGCGATGTCGAGCCAGATGATTCCAGAGGCCGCCGCCGGGATGGGACACGGCTAGTGTGGACAGTTTGGACGTGAATGTTTTCGCGCCGGCCAGTCCGTCGTCACTCAAACCGCACATGCGCAGCGACATCTAGGTGCACATCGCATGCTTTCCAGCGTTTGCACAACCCAACCGGAATCTAGCATTTCCACGTGCTTTTAACCGGACTGTGGAAGCCATGTTTCTGCGGAGCGTCCGCACTGCAATGGGTCCAAGCGTGATGAATGTTTTCTTGCAGTAGCTCAGCACATCCTTTGCTCAAACACGACAATGTGTTCGATCAATGTCATCCTCAAGCGGTACATCGTCTTCTTCGTCCAGCGAAGCAGAGGCAGATCACGCATCATGCGATGATGAGGAGAGCGGCCAAGACGAAATTCCTTTTCACCAACGAGTGGACAACGATGCACGGCCAGCAGATGCCGACAATCAGCTCATTGCCTACATGTGGACGCTCTCACGAGCAGATCCGGCTGTGAGCAGGGAACAGCTCTTGGAGGCCGTGCTGAAAGCTTACGAAGCGTGCCGTCTGACGGTGACCAAAGCTTCGGTGTTTAGGGAACGGCATCCCACGTCCTTATCGGAAATAGAGCGTCACTTCCATTTTCATTGCATTGTGGAGGCAACAGTGCGTGCCAGATGGCGAGGTCTCGCTGCAGAGCTCCGCAACAACGGTTTTAAGATGAACTGTTGTTCTCTTGGGCTTGGCCGAGGAACTTATTGGTCCGGAGTGGCATATTGTTTTGTGCCTTCTTCCAAGAAACCGCTTGCCGATCTTGACACGGAATACATCACGACCCCTGGTCATCCAGATTTTCCGCCACGGCTTCGCAAGCAACGCCGTCCTGCCAAGCAAAAGATAGAACCTCTGGAATTTGCCAAGATCGTCGCAGATCAGAAGCTTCGAAGTGTGGAAGACGTCCATGCTTATGCTGAGGCTCAACGTGCTGCAGGATGGGGTTTACAGGAACGTTTGCAGAGACTCTTTAACATGTTTGAAAGCTGGATTCAGTGTCAGGGTTTTCAAGCCTGTACCACACAGACTCGCCGTGCTCAGGAGACCAGCGTTTGTTCCAGCTTTGCTTGACACTTCCCGGCAAGAAGCTCCGAGAGCAGATTGAAACGGTCTGGCATGTGCGGGAAGCGCCAACCAGACGAGCTCGACGAGCCATGTCACACATGCAAGTCCTAGAGGCTGCCCTGGAGAAACCTTGCACATGTGATGGTCGCGCAATTCCTGGCTGGGAATATGTGCTCACCTTCAACGATCTGAGCGTCAGCGACTACCGTGCTGCTACTGTCAAGATGCTGACGGAGCAAGGCGGGAAGCAAGGCAACCACTTCTACTGGGGCGCGCCTTCTTGTGGAAAGACGGCATTGACGCGTCCTTTGCAAGCTCCTTATCTCGGTTTCAGCATCGTCTAGGCCTTTTATCTGACTGAGTGACCGTTTTTGATGTCGCTATGCGATAACTGTTGCTGTGCCAGTGCAGGCGCTCTTCGAAGGATATGTGATGGCCAAGCCCCAAGTCGGCACCACCTTTCCCTTTATGACATTGCCCGGCAAACAAATCTGTATATGGAATGATTTCCGGTGGCCGCATCCGCCGATGGCTTGGAACGATCTGCTCAACTTAGCGGATAATGAAGCTTTCCTTGTGGCCATGCCCAAGGGGGGCGATCTGGGTGCCGATTATTTGTGGAATGCTCGAGGCACCGAGTCCGTCTGCATGGTCTTGACGTCCAATGAGCCGACGATTTTCTGCACCAATGGCTCGGTTAACCATGTTGAAACCGAGGCTTGGAATCAGCGCTTCCAGACTTGGCATTTCGCGAAATCAATCCCTGCCGACAAGCAGGATCGCCGCTTCAAGCAATGGGGCCAGTGCGTGCATTGCTACAGTCGTCTGATGGAGAGGGAGAGATACTCGTATCACCGAACGAGTAGACGTTCTCAGACATTCGCACTCGACGCTTCTGCTTGCTCGACAAAATTACGTGAAGTGCACACTTCCCGTTGTGAGTCCAAGGGTTAAAGTCGCATCGCGTTGTCTGTGGTCGTAACATTCATGTCGTTACTTGCAACCCACATTGGGCCGAAACATGCAAGTTCAATGTTACTGATATGGCTAAACGGGTGATGACTACCGCTGCACCCCCCCTAACCCCCCGAAGGCAAAGTTATGCAACCACCGCATCCATGCAACGAGCTTCGAGCAACATTGACTTTCAGGGGTTCCGGGGGAGTCTTGGGGAATTGCCGTGCTGACTAACTTTGCTACCAGAGTCGCCTCTGTTATGCGCTTCAGAGCCGTTGCACCACTATCCTTCACTGCCATCCGTGAGGCGCAGAAGACTCAAACCTTGGAGGCCACATTGGGTGTGAGTCTCATGAAAGCAGTGCTGACCGTAGTGCTGTGAATTTTTGAATGCGAACGTCTTCGGAGCACTTGTAGCCTCTTTTCCACATATCGGCCTGTATATACTTGCCATGATTATAAATTGTAAGAACACTGCGAGAGTGTTCGGTGGCGGAAGCATGATGCAGCCAGCTGCCACTGCCAAGACTGCCCACACGTCGGCTGCACTTGCATGGATGTAGAGTTGATGTTCGCAAAGCTCCGCAAGGCTTTCAGATGTGCTGCAGCTCTGACCCCGCCTCGGCCTCAACGTCTTTGGAGAGTTTCGAAGTCCTCGCTGAGAGTTTGCAAACAGTTCTAAAGCTTTTCTGCAAGCTTGCGCAGAGACATCCATGCGGAAACATCTAGATTGCATTGCGGAGACATGTTGGCAGACACGCGGTTATAGGGACGTTGTTTGTTGATCTTTCCTGCCAGCTCCATCCATCATTGAGACGCAGAAGTTCCCAAGCCATCGGAGGCCAGCTTGGGTTTCAATCTGCTGTGAGAGTTTGCAAACAGTTCTAAAGCTTTTCTGCAAGCTTGCGCAAAGACATCCATGCGGAAACATCTAGATTGCATTGCGGAGACATGTTGGCAGACACGCGGTTATAGGGACGTTGTTTGTTGATCTTTCGTGCCAGCTCCATCCATCATTGAGACGCCATCGGAGGCCAGCTTGGGTTTCAATCTGCTGTGAGAGTTTGCAAAAAGTTCTAAAGCTTTTCTGCAAGCTTGCGCAAAGACATCCATGCGGAAACATCTAGATTGCATTGCGGAGACATGTCGGCAGACACGCGGTTATAGGGACGTTGTTTGTTGATCTTTCGTGCCAGCTCCATCCATCATTGAGACGCAGAAGTTCCCAAGCCATCGGAGGCCAGCTTGGGTTTCAACCTGCTGCGACTAATGGTGACTGCAGTGTGGTGCGGAATTTGTTGCCTTGCAACCGCAAGAGTGTTCCACTAATCAGTGCCGTTGAGAGCAGTCGCGACATCATAGCGACGTTGCTTGCTGATCTTCCGTGCCAGCTCTTCCCATTGAGACGCAGAAGTCCCCAAGTCCTTCGAGGCCGGGGTGCTAGCCGTAACGGCGTGCTTTCAAGTTGGTCGTGAGTGCCTGAGTATTGTTGACACCAGTGGTGAACAGTAGTGCTGTGCGTTCCAACATGTCATAGCTTCGTGATCCTCGTTGTCAGCTCTTCCATCATTGAGACGCAGCAGTCCCCCAGTGTCGGATTGGCACGCAGAGCAACAGGGAGTGTGAGCATGAGGCTGCGTGTAAGGGTCAGGGTGCGTGGGCTTGACGTGGGAGTGTAGGCATGTGAGGCTCAGGGAGAGCGCGCGCGTGAGCATGAGAGAGAATGAAAGAGAAACAGGCCGAAACAGCGTATCTGCAAGATGATGCAAGTTTCCAAAAACGTAGCTGTAAACCGATGCATGATTTGGGATTTGAGGCTTGCCAAAAAAAACGAGAGAAAAAAAGTCTGCATTCTACTAGGGTTGAGCGCAAACTCTTCGCCGAAAAAGCGTATCTGCAAAACGATGCAGGTTTTCCGGACGTGTAACTCCAAGACGGTGCATGATTTGGGAGTCGAGGCTGCCCCAAAAAAACGACAGAAAAAGTCTGCACCCCGCTAGTGTTCAGCGCTTAAACTTGCCAGAAAAAGCGTATCTGCAAAACGATGCAGGTTTTCCGGACATGTAACTCCAGTGCATGATTTGGGATTTCAGGCTGACCAACAAAACGACAGAAAAAGTCTGCACTCCGCTAGTGTTCAGCGCTTAAACTTCCCAGAAAAAGCGTATCTGCAAAACGATGCAGGTTTTCTAGAAACGTAGCTGTAAAACGATGCATGAATCGAGATGTGAGGCTGGTCAAAAAACGACAGAAAAAGTCTGCATTCCGCTAGTGTTCAGTGCAAACTCTTCGCAGGAAAAGCGTATATGCAAGACGATGCAGGTTTTCCAGAAACGTAGGTGTAAGCCGATGCATGAATCGAGATTTGAGGCTGGCCAAACAAACGACAGAAAAAGTCTGCATTCCGCTAGTGATCAGCGCTTAAACTCCTCGCAGAAAAAGCGTATCTGCAAAACGATGCAGGTTTTCCGGACGTGCAACGCGAAGACGGTGCATGCTTTGGGATTCGAGGCTGGCCCAACAAAACGAGAGAAAAAGTCTGCACCCCGCTAGTGTTTCGCGAATAAACTGCGCAGAAAAAGCGTATATGCAAGACGATGCAGGTTTTCCAGACACGTAGCTGTAAACCGATGCATGATTTGGGGTTTGAGGCTGGCCAATAAACGACAGAAGAAGTCTACATTCCGCTAGTGGTCAGCGAATACACTTCGCAGAAAAAGCGTATCTGCAAGATGAGGCAGGTCGTTCCGGACGTGTACCTCGAAGACGATGAATGATTTGGTTTCGGGCAAGCCACAGAAAGTCGACTTTGTGTCCGTCGTCGCTGCAGAACAGAGAGACAGAGAGAGACAGAGAGAGAGAGAGAGAGAGACAAGAGAGAGAGACAGACAGAGAGACAAAGGACACCGAGAGACACAGAGAGGGAGGGGGCGAGAGTGAGCGACAGCAGAGGGAACGTGTGCGCGGAGGGGGCAGCACTGCCTCAGACTACTTGTGAGAAAGCAAGTAAGTGGGTGAGCAAGTGACATGGGCTCTCTGCGCAGGTTGTTGCCAGCGAACGATCGCAATTCCGTGTGCGACGCCCGCGTCGGCGGGAGCGAGACACAGGCCATCGCTTTGAGAACAATGCAGGTTGTCGGCTGCAGATTGGCTCCCCCCTCTAAAAGCGCGGCAGGGCTAGAGTGTCCGTGGTGCATGTCACGAGGCTGCTGACCCAAATGTCTTTTGTGCGTGAATGAGCAACTGACTCCCTGCGCAGGTGCGGGAGCGCAACCCGTGCTGTCGGCTGTAGATTGGGCCCCCCCCCTCCGGGGGGCGGGGCAGGGCTTGCGTGTCCGCATGCCGGGGTGTCTGCTGCGTACTTCCTAAAGCCTAAACCGCGAGCTCTTTGTAAAGCAAAACCTCACCTTGCACAGGGTCGCACTCGTGCAATAGTTGTGTGCAGGGGCCATGCTGCTTTCAGAGCCGCGCGTCCCCTTGTGCAGGGCTGTTCGTGGCTGGCAAAAGTGGGATTCAGTTCGAAACAACGACTTTCGAGACTATTGAAAAATGCACAAGCAAGTGGCCGCATGAACGTGCCGTGAATCCATGCCGACAAGTTTTTCAGCTCAAGCGCCTTGCCGTCCTTGCCTGCCAGGTCATGCAAGCAGTCCAGCATGGCCAGTGCCCGCAGATTTGAAGCATGAAACTGCAGCCTGCAGAGACGTCTGATTGCTTGTGTTCGACGTTGGCGGGGTCGTGCATGCATCGAAGTTGGTTTAAGTTTGCCACATTCTGTCCGCTGCTTTCAGCCTCACCGCTTTCAGCCTCACCGGTTGCTGCAGCTTGGAGCGGCCAGCATGCCGCCAAAAGGGAACAGAAAAGCTAAAGAGGCACGGTTTCGTTGCTTGCACAAAAGCGAGCTAGGAGGGTCTCGTTTTTGACACCTGGAAATATGTCCGTTCCGGACGCGTTGGGAAGGGCCTCTCCTGTCAAGATACGTCTCGGCCAGGTTTTGCTCAAACAGCAGCTTCGTGCGTTGTAGCGCGGTGGAAACATCTTTCCGCCGCACAGTAGCGGGGTTCAGTGCAACCTATCGGCCAATGGAAGAAGCTCTAAAAGAGTTGGCTTGCATACGTCGACAAATTAAAAATGTACAGAGCCGCCAGTCCGCGAAGCGGAGGTTGGCCGTGCAGGCAGAATTCCTGGTACCACGCCCGCTTCAAAAGCGTGTTCTGTTGGTGTACATGTACAGTGGACACTGTAGCCGGGTCGCAGCCGAGTTTCTAAGGCGTTGCTTTGCAGGTTGCCAAGCTGCCGAAGAGAGCATGGATTATGAAGCCGTGGTAGAAAATCTTTACCTGGCAGCTCCACTGGAAGAAATCGTTGACTTGGAAACTGCGGCACTAACCTGCGTCCGGGCAACTGACGTACTGGCGGCAATGGAGTTTACAGTGCAGCAAAAACTGCATTCGTGGGTGGCGTGGCTTAACACGGAGAAAGGTGTTGCCCCCAGCCGCTCCATGATGGTAGCCTACGCCATGGACAACATTCCCTCGGCAGCGCTCGACGAGCTTCGGGCTGGCTTGGTGCAGCGTTTGAATGGTTCTTCCCGTGCTCAGCGCAAATGGTTGGCTCGCTTCAGGCGACAGTGGCAATGTCGTGTGGGACGCTTGCCAGTTGAAGATGTGGTGCCGTCCAACTTGGAACAAAAAGCTACCAGACAGAATAGCAGCAATTTGTTCGTGTGACTTCGTGTATTAGAGTTCGACATTCCCCTGAAGTGTGGCTTGTAGGGTTTGATGTTGGCCGGGTCCTGCAAGCGGGTTTGTAAGCCGCCCTTCCGAGGGTCGAGCTTGGTTTGGGTTTGCCACGTTCCCCTCCGCTCCCAAACGGTTGGTGTCTTTTGAAAAGCACCTGCGTTAGGGCGGTGTGAAACCAGCGTTGGGGAAGTGTGAAAAGGCGGTCATCGTATTTTGCACCACTTCGGGGCCCTGGCGGCAATTGCCACGGACCCGTTTCTGGTGCTCTTTTTCGGGACCCTTTCTTTTTGACTGGCTCTTATGGGGATCCGTTTTTGGGTCCCAAATCGAAGACGCAGAGGAACCTGTTTCGGTACTGGTTTTGGGTGCTCGGAAAATGGCCCAAAGTTTTGTGTTGTGTCCGCTCAGGTGACAGCCTTTTGGCAATGGATTAATTTTGCTTGGGCTGAAGCTGAAGAGGCCAAGGAGACACCTTTGGTTTTGAACGCGGATGAAACCTGCATCGCTTGGGTGAAAGGCCTTTCTGGCACGGTTGTGAAAACGACTCAAGCTCGCGGTGCTGCAGATAGAGCCAGCTTGGCGCAGCGTCGAAGCAACTTCACGTTGCTGGCGTGCATTTGCGCAGAGTCAAAGATACAACCGCTACTACCGCAGTTTATCTTGGTCAATGAGCGCCAGATGACCATGAAGGAGTTGGCAATTGTGAAAGGTCTGCAACCACCTCAAACATATGGTTTGCGAGGGCAAAGTGCTTGGTGCAGTCACGGATTGCTCCGGCGTTTCCTCACTGCGTTGGCAACCAGCCTTGAACCTGTTTCCCACGGAAGATACATTATCTTGCTGCTGGACTGCGCAGCGTGCCACCTACACGACAGCATTCGCAGCCACGCGGCGCGATTGAAGATCCGGTTGATTTTTGTGCCAGCAGGTGCTACGAAGTATTTGCAGCCCTGCGATTTGAAACTTTTTGCAGCTCTAAAGCATACGCTACGCGAAGTGTGGCGTGAGCGAAAGGGCGGCTCCGTTCTCGGAACACGGAGCATGGAGTTCCGTATGTCCGTTCTGTTCGATGCCATGATGCGTGTCTTGCCATGCCGCTCATGGAGGTCTGCTTTTGAGATGGCTGGAGCACTTGGTAGACAGACAGAGGTCAACGGACCTTTGCTGCGAGCACTGGAGTGGGAGCAAGCTCCTACATTGTGCAGGTTGCCACCTTCGCTCAAAGATGCATCCAGCATTTTTCCTTGCAGGCGTCGCTTGAACGTAAGCGACTATATCTACTGGCACAAGAACCGGGGACTGCCTGCAGAAGTTAGGCTGCTAATACCACTCTTAGAATGACATTGCTGCCATCTTTCGTGCGAAAAGTAGCTGCAGGCACTGTACCGCCACTACCGCCACTACCGCCACTACCGCCACTACCGCCACTACCGCCACTACCGCCACTACCGCCACTACCGCCACTACCGCCACTACCGCCACTACCACCACTACCACCACTACCACCACTACCACCACTACCACCACTACCACCACTACCACCACTACCACCACCCACCACTACCACCACTACCACCACTACCACCACTACCACCACTACACTACACCACTACCACCACTACCACCACGACCACCACCCACCACCACCACCACCACCCCACCACCACCACCACCCCCACCACCACCACCACCACCACCACCACCACCACCACCACCACCACCACACACCACCACCACCACCACGACCACACTACCACGACCACGACCACGACCACGACGACCACGACCACTACCACGACCACGACCACGACCACGACCACGACCACGACCACGACCACGACCACGACCACGACCACGACCACGACCACGACCACGACCACTACCACTACCACTACCACTACCACTACTACTACCACTACTACCACTACTACTACTACTACTACTACTACTACTACTACTACCATCATCATCATCAGTATGTTTCATAGTCATAATCATGATTCATAATCATACTCAGAATCATCATCACAAGTACCCTAAACCACTGGCACCTACCGACCCTGCGACCAGGTCAGTGCTTGAAGGCCGGGGGAAATCTGCGGCTCCTGGGATCTGCTTGTGGCAGCGAGGCCGAGCCCGACGCTTGGGCCCGGTTTAGGGTTTAGGGCTTCAGGGTTCAGGGGTTTAGGGTTGAGGCGTTTAGGGTTTAGGGCTGTAGAGTCTAAGGCTAAGGGGCTTGAGTTCTTGTGTCTTGCTGAAAGGCATCTTTTTGAGGTTTGGGTTGCTTAGGATCGTGGTCTCGGTCTCCTTTCCCAAGGGCCATATGGGTAGTTTTCTAGGCGCCGTACTATTGTGAGGACCCAAGTGGGGACCCACATTTAGAAAACTACCCATATAGAACCCTTTGCAAAATGAACTCGTCTGTAAGCCGCAAAAAAGGTCCTGGACCCTGCTGTAAAAAGCGCTAGCAAGTCACCACTAAACCGAACCCTCAATTTTAAGCCCCTGAAGACCTTCCCAGACCCCGGGAGGATCTAAAAAGTAGATCCCTTATTTGGGGCCCTATACTACTGAGGGTACTTTATAGGAACCCCCATTAAGGGATCTACAAACCTTAAACCCTAAACCCCAAACCCCTAAACCCTAAACCCTAAAACCCTAAACCGCTGAGGACCAGATGCTGGAGGCCGTGGATCTGGGCTCGCTCCTCTGGGACGAGCGGCCCGGCACGGTGAGCTCGATTCTGGGTTCTAGGGTTTAGGGTTTAGGGCTTAGGGTTTAGGGTTTAGGGTTTAGGGGTTTAGGGGTTTAGGGTTTTGGGTTAGGGTTTAGGGGTTTGGGGTTTAGGGTTTTAGGGTTTTAGGGTTTAGGGTTTTAGGGGTTTAGGGGTTTAGGGTTTAGGGTCTAGGGATTCTGGATTTTAGGGTTTAGGGTTTGGGGTTTAGGGTTAAAGGGGTTCGCAAGGGTTCCGAAAGGGGTTCTGTGGGCCTTTTGGGGTTCAGTGGGTGGGAACGTAGACCTAAGATTCAGATGCTGTCACATCAGACACCGCGACATGTGAGGGCTACCCTGAGCCGCACCAAACTAGGAAATCATCACTGAATTGGGGCTTGTTCGCACCAATATATCCTCGGATCATAATTCATCCGCTTCTGCTCAAAGGGAAAGTAAACGAAAGGACGGGTCAACGCTTGACACTCACCCAGAGAGCCAGCCAAGAGCCCTTAATTAAGACATAAGCCCTAGGCCCCAAACCCTAAACCCTCAACTTAAACCCTAAACCTCCTTAAACCCGCAAACCCCCCGACACCCGCGAAACCCCCTAAACCCCATGAACCTTCGAAACCCCCTAAACCCCAAGCAGGTTCAAGGCTGGAGCAAACGTGCCCGGCAAGTCCCACAGCGGGCTTCAGAATCGTGGCACCTGGACAGCAGAGTCTTTAATAAAGGGGCCTTAATAATTAGAATAGGGTGTTGGGACCCATCATACCATAATTGCAATAAGGAGCCACCAAAATAGTATTGGTAATTAGTTATTTAGGCCCCTATAGTACGGTTTCCGGAGTTTCTCGCGTTTTGTAAGGCTTGCTGGGGTCTTCAGGATTTGCAAACTCAAGCAGCTTCAGAAGTATAGGGTTGATATAAGGCTAGGATGCCCAGTAGTACCCTTATTCACTTTTTGTAGTCCTAGGTTCCTTATAAAGTTACCCAATACCAAAAAGAGAGGCCTTTTTTATTCTTAGGTCACTGGGTATCCTAGAAGGTCTTATTGGGTTTTGAGAAGGGTTTTGAAAGCTTCGTAGTAGCCTTAGCATGTCAGAACACATTCCTTGGTACGTTTACAACCGATGCTCACGTGAACTATGGCTCGTCGTCATTTCTGTTCGTGGATGCTATATAAAGCGAGCTTCGTTGGGGATTATGAGACAATGGCTTGCGCTGTAGCAGGGACCCGAGATGAAACGGAGCCGCCTTGGAAGCCCAAAGTACTGTGGACCTAGGCCCTAGGCCCGAAAATCCTAAAGTGCGAGCCCTCAGGAAACCTTGTGCCTTTGGGCCTTGGAGTATCATGCTCCGTGGTGTTGCATACCATGCTATCCTAATCTTCGCTGTACCTCACTGTAATATGTCGGTGTTCCTTCGGTTGCATACGATGGGAAGTCTGAGGCCTGATCGTAGAAAGGCCAAAGACCTTCAACTCAGGAAATGCCTCAAATCATGTTCAGCAGCCCTAAGAATGACAACACGTATTTCGCTGCGGGCTCTATCTGCTACCTTGAGACTGGATAAGACCTGTCAACGCCTCGTAATGGGCCCCCAAACCCTAAATAAACTACTTATAGTCTAATGGGCCTTCACACCCTGACATAAGTATAGTGTACTGGGCCCCCAAACCATAAGCTAATTAAACGTAACTAATTGTAGTATAATGGGCCCCCAAACCCTATTCTAGTTATAATGGCCCCCCAAACCCTTTTCTAATTATAGTACAATGGGCTCCCAAAACCTATTCTAATTATAGTGCAATGGGCCCCAAACCCTATGCTAGTTATTGAGGCCCCTATATTAAACCCCATTATACACCTTGTAATACTCCTTATGGACCCCTTTAAACGAACCCCTAAAAGGTAACATTCTATTTAATTTTTATGGCCTATGGCCCCTATAGTATAGATCCCGTAGAGTATCCCTTATTGCCTTAATAGACCGCTTTAAAGGAGCCCTAACCTAAGGCCCCTGTAGTCTTAGGGGTACTTAGAAATGATTTATAATTTTTGGTTATTATAATCCCTAAGAGACAGCTAAAATTATGATTTTTGCTAGGGTTCTAAGTTCAGTATAGTCGTAGTTAGCGGCTCTTTGGCAGAATGAGGTTCGGCTCCGACAACCTTGCGAAGCTTCCAGCTGGATGCCAGCTGTGGCGAGCACGTCGTGGCTCCCCGGCTGCCTCATTTTATTGCTGTTGTTACGATTGATATTTTCGACCAGAATCGTCTCCCCCTAATATTAAACAAACGCTCCCCCCTAATATAAAAAAATCAGTTCCGGGAGTTTTTGTTTTTAATGTCAGGGGGCAGGGTTCGGGGCCTCCTGGTATGAGTCGGATTGACACTATGGTTATTATCATTTTTCTGCTACTGCTACTACTACCACTGCTGTTATTGCTACTGGTAAAACTATGACTGTTTTGTTTAAGTACTGCATTGAGGTGGTTTCCGGTTTAGGGTTTAGGGAGTCCAGGGTTAGGGTTTCTAGTCTCACAGGTTTAGGTCATTCGGGGCTCTGGCACCCAGAGAGCCCAATACCCCTTAATTAAGGAATATACCTTAAATCATATTATGCGCCCTCTTATAATTTATGGTATATTCCTTAATTAGGGGGTATTGGGCTCTCTGGGCAAAAGGCTTTAGGGCTTGGGCTCTAGGGTTTGGGAGTTGGAGTTTCGGATCCCAAGCCCTATATAGGTACTTTGCGGCCGAAGTAGATACTATTCGGGTACATGGACCCTGAGGGCTATAGAACCCTTATGGAACCCGAAGCCTCAAAATGGAACTCTAAGCCTCGAAATGGAACCCGAAGCCTCAAACCCAAAGGCCCCAGACGAGCAGTCTTTATAGGCTGCAGCCAGCAAGTTTCGGACTCAGGACTCGATTGGGTTCACGAGCAACAGCCACCTTGGCATGTGGCTTTGCCTCCATCAGCAGTCTTTGAGAGAGCTGCCGGTTGTGTTGCTTCCTTTATATCTGGGTCGCAGACCAGTCATAATCATAGTCCGAAGACGCTGTTAAAATACAGCGCTGTCATCGCCACTGCTATGTATCGATAAAGACGCCACTATCACCGGTGCCACTGCCACCTCTAGCTCTACGAGGAAGAACAAGTCAACAGGAACGATGATAAGAAAAACAACGAAAGGGACCTTTTGATTCAGAATCGTGCGATAGTGAGACTACACTTCACAAGAGCAAAAGACGTGCTAAATCCCCAACCTCCACATCCTAAACCCTACGCCCTCAACCATGACTCCCTCTACTGTTCGTCTCGCGCAACAGTAAACCGCCTTCACAAGCCAAGCCCAAATCTTCCAGGCCCAGAGCGTCTTTGCAGAGTCCTACTGCAAGGGTGCTTGAATTGCTGGTAGTGGTCATCCATGGGGTCTCTCAATATAGGAGAGAGTATGGCATACCCCGCAACGCCCTATTCTGTTACAGCCGAACCCTAAAGTCAGGTTGTTCAGGGCTAAAGCTTCATTAGGCACAAGACGTAAGTTACCAGTTGCAATCGTAAAAACAGTGATTAGATAAGACCAATGGTAGCAATCACAACAGTAAAGATATTTATAGCTATAACAATCGCGATATCAATCATGAAATATCAACATCAATATCGATAGCAATAACGGTAACAATGGCAATAGCAATAGCACTAGCAATACCAATACCAACCACAAAAGTAAAGACAGAGTAGTACGTAGTAGTAGTAGTAGTAGTAGTAGTAGTAGTAGTAGCAGTAGTAGTAGTAGCAGCAGCAGAAGTAGTAGTAGTAGTAGTAGTAGTAGTAGTAGTAGTAGCAGTAGCAGTAGTAGTAGCAGTAGCAGTAGCGGTAGCAGTAGCAGTAGCAGTAGCAGTAGGAGCAGTAGTAGTAGTAGTAGTAGTAGTAGTAGTAGTAGTAGTAGTAGTAGTAGTAGTAGTAAATAGTAATGGTGATCGTAATGGCCAAAAAGTAGCAATCGGCATAGTCATAGTAATAGTCATAGTAACAGTAGTTTTAATAGTAATAGTAATTGCAATAGCAATAGTAATAGTAATGGTAATAGTAATAGTACAAGTCATAGCAATAGCAATAGCGATAGCAATCGCAATCGTAATAGCGATAGCAATAGCAGTAGTATTAGTAATAGCAATAGCAAGGCAAGAATAAGAGTAAGAGTCAGAATCAGAGTCAGAAGAATTATAGTAACAGTAACCGCAAGGTCGGAACAACAGTAATAACAAGAACAGTCATAGCTTTAAAAAACACAGATCAGCATATTTGGTCACCATGTCGAGGTCGGCTACGTGCACTGCTGCAAGCACCTACGGTGCCGCAGTGGAGAAGGCCTCCTGTCTTCGGAAAGCCCAAGCGCTCCAGGGTTTAAACCAAGAGAGCCCCTACATAGATTCTCGTAGAATCTCTAAACCCCTGTTCTAAACTTGAAGGCCTCTCAAAGAAGATTAGGTGAAGAGGTCAAGAAGCTGACAGACGCTGTTTTGATGAGATACCTTAAGCTCCAGCTTGCAGGGCTGTCTGGCACTCAGTAACAGTTGGATAATATTCATAATATAGATCTATAAGGCCCTGAATAGTAGCCAATGTGGGTCGATTGTTGGGAAAACGCCTGGACGGAGTACCAAGCCCGAAGCCCGGTCTGATCGGTTCCAAGCTTGGAAAAGCGACTGAATGAGCCTTATATAACTCAGCCCAGCCCAAAACTCCAACCAACAGCTTTCGCTTTGATCCCAAACCCGGACAGATCGGGGAGTTAGTCTGTCGGATTTCAGGATTAAAGTCTCAGGAGCTAGACCCTATACCCTGTGTTGAAACCCTAAATCCTAAACTCCTAAACCCTAAAGACTGTCGCCCTAAACCCTAAACCCTAAACCCTAAACCCTAAACCCTAAAGACTGTCGCCCTAAACCCTAAATCCAAAACCCTAAACCCTAAACCCTAAACCGTGACTTTGGGTTTCCGCGGCTCATGGGAGCCGCTTCTTCCCCCCGAACTACTGCAGAAGAACAGGGGGTCTGATGCCGTTCGCCCTTGAATCTCCAAACCTCCCAAAAATCACAACATATACATTTCAGCCTACTATAGTGTACTATAGCGTACTATGGCATACTATAATATACCAAAGTATACGTACTATAGTATACGTCTGCGGTAGTATACCGCAGTATACTAGAGTATATCAAAGTATACTGCAGTACGCTACAATATGCTATCGCGTGCTCCTTAAACCCCAGAGCCCTAACAGGAAAGCCCCAGATCAGATCTAAAAAGTGAACCCCAAAATCCGCAAAGCCCGAAAAACCGCCCAGACGCTACCTCTGCCGGGATCTATCACGATTACCAGCGAAAGCGAGGGGACTTGCATGAGTGACCTTGCAGCGACCAGTGCGAATTCTCAGGGTTTTGATGTAAATCAAGCTTAGGGTTTGGGGATTATTCTGGCATTTCCGGTTTTGACAAGTTGGGAGTCTGCCCCCTAAACCCTAAACCCTAAACCCTAAACCCTCTGCCCTAAGCGTGTGCTGTTCCTGGTGGCTTGGATTCAGGGTCGACAGCAGAATCGCCCGTGGAATGCCGACGGGACATCCAGGGCACAATCCAACGGTTTAGGGTTTAGGGTTTAGGGGCTGCAGGGTCGAAGGTTTAGTGGTAGAGCTTGGTCAGGGTTTTGGCGTCGATTGCCATGAGAAAGCTGAAGGGGTGCTGCCGCAGCTGACATCGTGAAGCCATGGTGTTTATGCTTGGGATTCCTCAGTTCCTGTTTGAAGGATTTAGTTCATCATAATGGGGGAACCCTATTATTTACTATAGACCCCTATTGTGGTAACTCAAGCTAGACTCTTAACAAGAACCATAACCAGGGAACCTTGTTATTCACTATAGACCCCTACTATGGTAACTCAAACTAGACTCTTAACAAGCACCCAGATTTGGGTGTAGTCTTCGGTCTCGGGTTCAGGCCTGAGAGTCCGACAATCCCTGAGGTTCAATGTCGTCCTGTGGGCGCTTTTGCAATCCTCGCTGTCCTTAAACCTACCGGTGCTAAACTGGGCTTTGGAGTACCATACTTTAATACTGCTTTCTGAAAGGAACCCTTATGAAATACGAGTTTATACCTTTTTCTCCCTGGTTACTTAAAATTTAAAACCCCAGTTAAGGGGGTGTGGAGAGGGGCATGTCGGGGCCGGTAGGGGCTACTCAGAGAGCCCAATACCCCTTAAAGAAAGGAATATGCTTCAAATTACAAGGGGATTCATAATACGATTCCTGGGGGGGCTCTCTGGATACAAAAACCAGTTGCATGAAGACTACTATGTGATATTCTCCTGTACGCACCAGTAAGATTAAATGGGTCTCTCTCTCTCTCTCTCTCTCTCTCTCCCTCTCTCTGGCTCTCTCTCTCTCTCTGTGTTTCTGTCTCTGTTCTCATGACCAACCTTCCACCAAAAGCCGGACTTTTGGGCGTTTGTGATAGTCTGTAAGTACATAGATCTGCCTTGAGCCCTACTCTAATGGTTCAGGTCTGCGACTGAAGCATGAGTCCCAGGCATCGAAGCCAGAAGCCCCAAAGAGACTTAAATCCTAGGGTTTAGGGGTTTAGGGGTTTAAGGTTTAGGGTTTGGGGTTTTGGGTCTAGGGTTCAAGGGCCTAAGCTTCCAGGCATTCACCGCATCATCCCATGGCACCTGACCGTCCGCGAGGGGAGCAAGTGCTTGGATTACAACACGCACGACTCGAACCTCGGGAGTGGTCTTCGGGAAAAGTAGATCCCTTAATGGGGGTTCCTTTAGGGGTTCCTTTAAGGGTCCCTTTAAGGGATCCATAGGGTTTTAGGGTTTAGGGTTTAAGGTTTAGATCCCTTACTGGGGGTTCCTATAAAGTACCCTTAGTAGTATAGGGCCCCAAAATGGGGATCTACTTTCTAAGGTTTAGGGTCGCGGCTCCGGAGGTTTGGGGTTTGAGGGGGTGAGGGTTTAGGATTTAGGGCGTAGGGTTTGGGAGCTTAGGCTGAGAGTTGATAGTGTCCAGTATCAGAGGCTGAATACTTCCACAGCTCTCGAGTTGTCCTCGTCTCCACAGCCCTCACACACTATTCGGGCTCCTATGTTGGGAGATGAGGGTTGGGGTGCCAGGGTTCCCCTAAACCCTAAACCCTAAACCGTACCCAGAGAGCCCAATACCCCTTAATTAAGGAATATACCTTAAATCATATTATGCGCCCTCTTATAATTTAAGGTATACTCCTTAATTAGGGGGTATTGGGCTCTCTGGGTAGGCTTCAGAACGTAGGATTCCGCCGGTGCGGAGGCCTGGGCCCTGCAAAATCGCTTGACGTCAGTACACACACCGCAGCCTCAGCTCTTCCGGTTTAGGGTTTAGGGTTTCTTCCTCTTGCTAGGAAAAGCGGAAATCTGAACTATGCGATCAGTCGCCAGTAGCAGCCCCAAACCCTAAACCCTAAACCCTAAACCGTGGCTCAGCAGCAGCAGCAGAAGGAGGGGGAGCAGTAGCAGCTGTGGAGGCAATCGTGGTGTTTTGTATTGGGTAGTGGTCACGGTACTGGTATAGCAGTTGCTGTCGCAGTGTTGGCTGGTGATCAGCCACAAAACTACAATTTTTGCAATGATGAAACAAGCTCCGTGATACTATTCGGCAGAAGTTGTGGAGGAGATGGTATTCTGAACGGTTTCTGTGCGACAGCCCTGGTCTCAACCCCGACGAACCTGCTGCGACCGAGGAACGTGTACATGCACCATTGCCACCACGGCCTCAATCAACAGTGGTACATGCTCGATGGGAACATCATCTCCCTTCATGATCACAAATGCTTGGATGCCCACCTTGGCACGAAGAGTCGCGTCGGCAAAAGCGTGCGTAACTATACCAGGTTGGACTCATTTTGAAGTGTGCTTGCTTGATCTAGGTGCCTTGAGATTGGATTCTGAGGAATGTCTACATGCACGAGTGCCACGACGGCGCGAACCAGAAGTGGTACTGGGATGAGGACACGGCTCAGATTCGAAGCGAGCACGACCACAGGCGGGTGGTTGCCATACTTCGGCTTGATGCTAAGGGCCCGAAAAGTTGGACGTGCACACTGTCCTCTCAAGTTCCCACCAAGATATAAAGCGTTTCGAGGTGTTTGGACATGACCTTGGATGGCTCCCACAACATCTACATCCACACTTGCCACACGGGAAACAATCAGAAATTCGAGACTCGGGAAGAAGAGGAATGGGCTTCAAAGAACTCAACATTTCAACGTTAACATAGGGGCCTAAATAATTACCCATACCACGTTGGGTGTTCCTTGTTATACTTATAGTATAATGGGCCCCAAAACCCTTTCTAATTATTAAGGCCCCTATATTACGCACATGGGTTTCACGCCGTGGAGGCGAACTTCCTTCTCAGTCAAACCCGTAGGGCTTGCGCGAAAATGCTTTTCGTGTCATTCGTGTTGAGAGTAGTATAGGGGCCTTAATAATTAGAATAGCGTTTGGGGGTATAGTATACTATAATTACAATACGGAACCACCAAAATAGGTAATTATTATTAAGGCCCCTATATCAGGATTTAGGGTTCAGGGTTTCGGGGTGGAGTTTAGGGGTTCGGGGGTTTATTTAAGCATCTCTTTAGGAATTGTTGCGCTTGTCCTACGATTTTTCAGTTAATGAAGACTTCCTGCAAGTGATCTCTTTGTTTTGTTCTGGTCAGAACCCTCGAAGGCACTGGTGAATCTCAATCTCCAGAGACCTATGCTGCACAACTTTCACTGTGCAGCCGTAAGCCCTAAGGCCCCTCTAGCCTATGCTCGAACTGAGCAGAACTAAACCGAACAAGACATAGACCCCAAATCTAAGCAGCCCCTTGCAAGCAACCTTAAGCTGCACTAAGCCCTGAAGTGCCAGAGACCCTCATTTTTTTTTTTACCTGAAGCCGCTAAGCGCGAAGCACAGACTGTAGTATCAGTATGTGCTATCTGGAAGAGGATAGTATTCATGGCACGAATGAAGACATAATCAGATCTCCTAGACCCTAAACCCTAAACCCTAAACCCTAAACCCTAAACCCTAAACCCTAAACCCTAAACCCCAAACCCTAAACCCTAAACCCCAAGCCCTAGACTCCAGAGCCCTAAGCCCTGCCCAAAGTTCTTCATGCAAATTCGTTATGCCTCAACCCTGAACCCTAAAGCCGTGAACCGAAGTCACTGCTAGTCAAGCGTCCAAGCATGATTTTGAAAGCCTGAATGATTACGAATGATATTGTTGAGGATTCCTTACTATCAGCCCCAAAACCCTATTCTAGTCGTTAAGGCCGCCATGGTTCAGACCCTTTCTTTTCAGTAGATCCCTTTCTCACTTATTCAGGACCCAAGAGAACCCTCCGGGTAAACCCTGAGCCCCAAACCCAAGCGAACCGTCAACTCTAAACCCTAAACTTAACCCCAACGCCCAAAAGCCTAAACCCTAAGCCCTAAGCCCTAAACCCTCAGCCCCAAACGGCCGAGAGCTCCGCTGACCGTTTGCGTGGGCGCTCGAGGTTCCGACCGAAACCCCAGGCCGAGCGTCTCGTCCGAACGGTGAGGGAGGGTATTGCTTCTCGGTATACGAGGACTGTCGTGACACCGCCCCGCAAATGACCTCTCTGCCGTCAGGCAGTGAAGAAGGACCCCAAACCCCTCACCCTTGACGCCCATGCCTTTCCCCCCAGCAAGGTCCGCAGGCTAGCAGATTCCGATTTCCGGAAAACTGGCCAAAACACGAGGGGCGGGTTGTTTGTTGGCAACCCTTGCTTTTTGTCGAGCGGCCGGCATGGGCCGCGAGGACCCACAACCCAACTCCAATCCATGTCAGCGGGGTTTGCTGTGAAATGTGATCGTTTATGTGTCGAACTGGTTTTTGGAAGCTGAGAGCAAGACGGCGCCCTTGAGGGGGGTTTGGCTGGGGTGAACTTTTGGCGTACTATGTGCTGATGCACGCGATAACTGGGTGCGCCCGTATTCCTAAAGTAAAAGGCGCACCCACCGCGCGCACACTGTATACACACTCGAAGCCCTAAACCCTAAGCCCTACATCGTAAACCCTAAGCCCAAACCCTAAACCCTAAACCCAAGCCCTAAACCGTAATCCTCAACCCTGAACGAGGCCGCCCACTTCCGTGGGTGGGCGGCGCTTAAGCCCCTCGACCTCGATGGCGCAGAGCGATCCAATACGCTTTCCCGCCTGTCCACAGCCATAGGTACCGGAGCAGGTTTTCTCGGGACCAGTACTGGTCCCTACAAGGAAATACCCTTAACCCCAAGCCCTGACCCTGGCCAGCTCAGGCCCCCCCCAAAAAGCGGGCCCCCAGGGCGGTCCTGAAGGCTCCAGCGAGAGTTCAAGGACCTGGGGCCTCCAGGCCAGTCCTAGAAAAACTTGGACAAAACTGCAATTCCACTGCCCTCTCTACCTGCCCCGGTCTCTGCCCTGCCCTGCCCTGCCTGCCCCTCTCCTACTAAATTCCGTTCATAAGATGTGCATTTGAAAGTGGGCCAGGTGCCTCCTTTCTTTTCGTGTGGCTGCTTTAACCCTTCGGTTGAAGAAATAAAGAAAACCATAGAATGAGTTTAGGTGCTAAACCCTAAAAGGAATAGGTTTGGGTGGTTTGGCCGCCTTAGACGGCGTGGGGTGGGAGAGTGAAAAGAAAGAGCCATCCACAATCAGGCTCCAACAGCCAATCGTCAGAAGACGACGCACTCGAAATTACACTGTCGCGAAACACATCCGCTTATGCGCCACTTTACGGCAAAAGCTTAAACCCTAAACCCTAGACCCAAAACCATAAACTCAACGCCCAAAGCCCGAAACCCCAAACCGCAGCTGCCCGGACCCAGGATCGAAACGAGTATGCCGCGAACGCCTTCACGATGGCTTTGCACTTGGAATGTAGTGCCACCCGTCTATCATAGGAGGCCAAAAAGCGGTGTTAGCCTATGGGGGTTTAGTAGGGATTAGGGTTCCCATAACAAGGTTCATACGACGGAATCCCTACCCCAAGAATCTTAAACCCCCCTTTTGGCCTCCCATCAGTCAACGTTTCTTTGTGAAATGGCTGCTAAGGCTTTTTGGGCTTCGGGGGCTGTGGGGGTGTAGGGTTTACCCGGTATCGTTTTGGGAAAGTCGTTAGTGTTTGGTATACTGCAAACGGGCTTCGGCTAATGATCCTGTTGCGATTATTCCGATGTTATGTCCTTCACCGCAAATTGCATGCGCTTGTACATCTCTTTGCTGCCCGTCTTCCTAGACTTGACTTTAGCTGCTTTTCATGCAGCATGCAATTTACGATGATAAAGCTGCTGGTGGTGATGATGAAGCTCATGTATGACAGCGCCGAGCTTGACGAAGGTATGGTCACCACTGTAGTTGCAAATGTGATTCCTGGAAGGCTGCGGGTGTCACTGTGTGTGCATGTGACCTTACACCCTAAATCCCAAACCCTAAGCCCTGAAGCCTGAACCATCAGTACCAATGTGCATGGGTAAGGAGGCTCACCAAAATTTTTTTTTTGTTGCGGTTTGGGTTTCGGGGCCCCCCGGGCTTGCGGCTTAGGGCCGGCTAGAGTTTAGGGTTTAGGGTTTAGAGCCAACAGGCCACGATTGCAAACAAACTTGTGAAGTCCTTAAGGCTATGCCCTGTTTTCAGAAATGGTCCCCCGGAAACCCAAGCCCCCAAAAACATCCTAAACCCTCAACGCCTCGCAGCCTTAAACATCTTAAACCCTAGAGCCCCAAACCCCTACGCCCTTAACCAGAAACCCTGAAACGCTGCAAACCCCTAAAGCCCCAAAGCTTAACACCCGAAACCCCAAATCCCAAGCCCCCACACCCCAACAACCACCAGAAATCCTCCAACCAAAGAATCTTTAAAACCAGTCACTTTCAGACCTCTGGAGCCAGACTCTTGGTTGCCAATAATCCTACGATATACAATCGGAATAGGGCTTTATATGTGTCATTACTTGAAGTTTCCACACTATGAACCCTAAACCCTAAACCCCTGAGCCCTAAACTCCTAAATACACGCAACACCCTAAACCCCTAAACCCTGACCCCTAAACCCCTAAACCCTAGACCCCAAACCCCTAAACCCCAAACCCGAAACCCCTTAACCGTAACCCCTGAACCTCTAAACCCTAACCCTTAAACCCCTAAACCCCTAAACCCTAAACCCAAAACCCTGAACCCCTATATAAACCCCTAAGCCCTAAGCCCTAAACTCTTAAACCCCTAAACCCCTAGGGCCCTAAACCCCAACCCCTAAACCCCTAAACTCTAAACCCCTAAACCCCTAAACCCTAAGCCCTAAACTCTTAAACCCCTAAACCCCTAAGGCCCTAAACCCCAACCCTTAAACCCCTAAACTCTAAACCCCTAAACCCCTAAGCCCTAAACTCTTAAACCCCTAAACCCCTAACCCTAAACGCCTAAACTCTAAGCCCAAACCGCAGCCCAGGAGTCGGCGAACGAAGAGATCACCGTGGAGCCCATCGGGGGAGAACCGAAGTTCCGGCTCAGGAGCCCCCTTGGGCGTCCTTAAAGGGTTTACTTGGAGGTTCCTTTAAGGGTCCCTTTAAAGGGATCTATAGGAATTCTCTAAGGGTATAGGGTTTAGGGCCTACTTGGAGGTTCATGGCTTGTTATAAGTAGAGTTATAAGTAGGAGAACTATAGTCATAAGCCGTATTAAGGGACTTATATCCCCCCTTATAACTACCCATGAACCTCCAAGTAGGGGCTTAGGGGTTCAGGCGTTTGGGGTTTAGGGGGTTTGGGGGTTTAGAGTTCAGGGGTTTTTAGGGTTTAGGGGTTCGGAATTTCGGTTTTGGGGTCGACGGGGTTTAGGGTTTCGGGGTTCTAGGGCTTTAGGGTATGAGCTTAGCATTGGGGTTTAGGTTCCCTTGGAGGGTTCTACAAGGGATCTATAAGGGCTTCTGGGGTTTAGGATTTGAGGGGTTTTGGGATGATTGGATTCTCCGGATTATGGTTTTAGCGGCTTCTGAACAGGTTCTATAGGGTTTAGGGTTTAGGGTTTAGGGTTTAGGGTTTTAGGCCTTTGGGTTTTTGGGCTGATGGGACTTCTGCACTTTCGGGTGTGAGGTTGGGGGTCTAGGGCCTGGGAAGTAATCGCCCTGCATGCCCAGAGACTGCAAGACCTAAGGCTTAATGGCGTTTATAGGGTTGCTATATGGGTGGTTGTTAAAATTATGGTACCTTTTTGGGTCCTTCTTATAATACGGCACCTAATATTTAGGGTACCCAAAAAGGAGACCATAATTTTAACAACTACCCATATAGCTCCCTTATTTTGGGGCGTTCAACGGAATTACAAAGCTCTACTTGAGGTTGGTATAAGGGTTTCAAACGTGCTTGCTTGTGGCTTATAAGTCCATGATTTCAGGGGTATCCCTAAACTCTAAACCCTGAACCCAAAGGCCCTTTCAGGGATATCCCTGGCACGTAGCAGATCCTGGTTGTGATGTGGGGTATATTCCTCACGGGGTTTTGAGTGACATTTTGCCAGCATGCGAGTGATTCACCCCCAAGCCCCGATTCTGAATGGCAAGGCCGCCCAGATTCCCAAACCTATTCTGACTGTTGAGACCCCTATATCGCTCAGCTAGTCCCCGGTGTTAATCCGCTCGTGACATGGAAGTCTTGAATCCCTAAACCCTAAACCCTAAACCCCTAAACCCTAAACCCTAAACCCCTAAACCCCTAAACCCTAAACCCTATACCCTAAACCCCTAAACCCTAAACCCTCTGAAGGTCTTACGTCATAAAGCAGTCGCCACATTTCCCCCGCCTTTGCCCCCCTACACCCTGAACTTGGGAGGCGCTGATCCACGATCTCTTCGAGACAGAAGAGAGACCCAGCGAGCCCAATACCCCCTAATTAAGGAATATACCTTAAATTATAAGAGGGCGCATAATATGATTTAAGGTATATTCCTTAACTAAGGGGTATTGGGCTCTCTGGGTATAGACCCTGCATCATCGGATCCTCACTATCAGGAGCTCTAGACGAAGTAGTTATGTTGAAGCCGCCGAATCCTCCTAGAGCTCGGTAAACTCTTGAGAACCCTTATGAACACACGCCCAAGTACAAAGACGCTAATTCCAAGCGGGTCGCCTGCGGCTTTGCAGGCGCAGCCCGCACACGCTTCCTGGAGACTTCCGATGGGACAACAACAACAAGCGGGGGCCCTAAGCCCTAAACCTCAAACACTTCAGGGTTTGGAGCTAGTGAGGTTGCCAGGGTCTTCTAACAGGGCTTTGAAAAGGGTTTGATTTGTCTCATGATAGGGTTGCAGAGGGCTCTTTTAATCACAAGGATGGGTTTGGAAGGTTTGGAGTGCTGCCGTGAGGAGGCTGAGGGGTTCAGGGTGTAGGTGCTTGAACCCTACTGCAGCATCCTAATGAAGAAGACCCTGAATCAAAGGACCCTGGAACAAGACCCATCATATGGACCTGAACGGCAAGCGGAGTTTCTGAATTAGGTTCCTAGATTCCTCAAATCCATAATCCCCAAACCCTAAACCTCAAAGGCCACTACCTTGGCAGAGTTCAAGAGCCTGAAACTTGCCTTTGGTTAGTAGGGAATGGAGGAATGGGGTACAATTATAACTACTACTACCATTCTTCCATTCCCTACTAACCAAAGGTAAGGAAACGACCAGGAAGATCATCAATGCCGGCAATGGCAAATGCCTCGAAGCGCGTGGCCGCGGACGTGTGGACGAGGTCTCCTGCACCCAGCGCAGCATGGCCGACTTCAGCTTTGTCATAGTTGGGTAACATTTTACATGTTGATGGGTACTTAAACCCAATAAGGAATACATTTTAAATTTTTAATCCTATCCCAACCATGAACTAGTCAGATAGAGTTGTCGAATGGTTGAAGGTTTCGGGTGTTGAGGTCTCAAGGCGGGGGAGGGCTTTTGGGGGAGCTGGAAGTATTCACCGGTGCTTTCGTGTATGAGTCTGCATCGCCTACCTTCGCCACGCTACCCCAGGCTACGGTGAGCCAGCAGACTTAGGGGTACTTAGAAATAATTTTCAACGTTTGGTTATCATAATCCCTAAGAAACAGCTAAAACTATATTTTTTGCTGGGGTTCTAAGTTCAGTATAGCATAAACCTCGAGCCTGCTGCGCGCCCGCACAGCCTCCAACTAAGCGGTCGATCTCCAGGTATGAGTTTCCGGAAATTAGGGGCACCTTGTTTGGGGGTCCTTATAATAAGGATCCTACTATTTAGGGTACCATACCAGGGTCCCCTACTTTCGAAAACCCCCAGGTATCGAGCAGGAGTGGGCCATGTCCCACGGGCTTCCTGGCTTCGTGGATGCGCCGATCACATGTCCAGGAGATCAGGCCGGCCTCCAAAAGTATGCCCATAGAGGAACCCTAAACCCTAAACCCTAAACCCTAAACCCCTAAACCCCTAAACCCTAACCCCTAAACCCTAAACCCTAAACCCTAAACCCTCAACCCTAGGAGCCTTCTTAGGGTATCTACAAGTTTCGGGGAGCTTCCAGAAGTTCTCCGAAAGGCTTTATGATGACTATACTGGCCTTCTAGGAGCCATGTACCGAGGGGTGTAAGAAATAGGGTTTGGGGTTCTTTCATGCGTTTTCGCCCCAACACCTCCGATCCAAACATATGCACAATATTGTATTTGGAGGTTCCGAAATTAGGGGTGCCTTACTCAGGGGTCCTTATCATAAGGATCCTAGTCTTGAGGGTACTATTTTAGGATCCCCTGTTTGCGGAGACTCCCATTTGGAGGATCATAGTAGGGCTGTACGGGTTTAGGGTGCCTTTGAAGGTTCTGGGTCCAAGCGGACAGGGATTAGGGCTTTAGGGTCTAGGTGTAAGTAGGGGTAGAAGTAGGATAATTATAAAGGCACCTCCCACTGTAGCTACTTATGAACCTCCAAGTAGGCGCCACCAAAAAGCCTCACGCGAACGCTCCGCTTCCACCAACCCTTGCTTTTCGTCGAGCGGCCCAGGCCGCGAGGACCCACAACCCGACACCAATCCATCGCAGCTGTGGTTTTTTGACTCTATAGTCGTTTATGTGTCGAGCTGTGAAAGGAGGCAGAGAGCCCTTGAGGGGGGTTTGGGGGGTGGACCCTAAACCCTAATTGAGAATAGTTGGGGTGGTTGGGGCGGGACTACATGCTGCCGCAAGCGCGCGATAAGTGGGTGCGCCCCTACTCCTAAAGTAAAAGGCGCTCCCACCGCGCGCATACTGTTACACACCCTAAAGCCTAAACCCCAAACCCCTAAACCCTAAACCCTAAGCTCCCACATCGGCCTGGAGGTCATCAGCTACGTGAAGAAGACCAGCGGCGAGGTGAGGCTACCTTGGGGTTTAGGCTGGGGGGGGGCCTTTAGGGTTTATAGGGTTTAGGGCTGAGGGCTTACAGGATAGGGTTTAGGGTTTAAGGGGTTTAGGGTTTAGGGGGTTTGGGGTTTAGGGGGTTTGGGGTTTCGGGATTTCAGGCTTAGGGCTTAGGGGTGTGGGGGGTTGAGCCCGTGAATGGCGGCGGACGGTCAGAGAAGCGAAGAAGGGACTGGAAAGCTTCAGCAGTAGACTCTAATATAGGGCTTCAATAATTAGAATAGGGTTTCCCATAACGGGCTCCATTTAAACGGGTCTACAAGGATTACTACAAGGGGTGTTTTGGGCGGTTTAGTTTAGGGCAATAACTAGAATAGGGTTTGGGGGAGTTTATGCTATAGTTATGCTGACGAACCACCAAGATAGTATTGGTAATTATTTATTCCCCAGATTAGATCCAGGTTCGTCTGTTAATGAGCTTATTTATGAGCTTGCCGACGAAGAGTCAGACAAGTACCATCCTTAAGAGGTGCAGTATGGAACTAAGGTACTTGTTACGAGTGCTAGTTCCACAGTCTCAGCATCAGCACCGTGTGACGGTCGTTCTCCGAATCCCTTGTCTTCTTGCAATGTTTGGCACGTAGACCACTCTTATCAGCGCTATCATCATCAGGACTGTCAGTAGTGTTTGGATGCTGCCTACACGTAGTAAGCGTTGAATTGAGTAATTTTTGCAACAGTAGATACATTAGTCCCTTGATAGTAACCCGATCGACTGTATCGGGGCAGCACCTAAGGTGCTGTCAACATTTCGGGGGTGTGTTTGATGCGACCTGGTTTTCTTGTCGGTCCTTTCGTCGAGGCCTTACCTGGTCTGAGCACAAGTCTTTCGAGTGCAAAGGGGCTGTTGCGTGGTTGTTGTGGTTTGTAGTGTGTTGGATGACTTGGCTGTTGTGCTGTTGATGCATGTTGGTTGTGTTTTAGCTGCTTGGTCCAAAGCCAGGTTTTGGAATAGCATCTGCTTTGGCATCCAAGACGAGACTTCGTGACACAAGAAGCAAAGACAGTGTAAATAGCTTAGACAACTGCATAGCCCCTGTCCATGCGAAAAGCCCGTGTTCGCAGACGTCATCCAGCTGCTGCCGGTGAACAGAATTCAAGACACGAACAACTCTCAGTCCTTTCCTCTAACAAAGAAAGAATAAGCCTTCAACACAAGAAGCGAAGCTTCTAGGTGAAGTATCGCTGCAGCCACGTCTCTTCCTTGGGCCACTCGGGTCCGCAGCGAGATTGGCACCGTCCGTCGAAACAGTTTCCCAGCTTCGGGGTATGCATAGCGAGAATCCTGTTACATATTTGGCTTCTGGGCTACGGATCCTTTATTCTCTGCAACTCCCGATTTGGGGCTCTCTTATGTGGGGCTCAGGGTCTTGAGTTGTGCGTTTGCTTTGGGGTTTGGCGGCTTCAAAGACTTCGGGATTTGAGGTTGGCCCCCTGGTCGTGGATTTGAGGACCCTAAAACCCTGCAGGAAGCTTGGAGTTTGGGGGTTGGGGTAAAAGAGGCCATGCAACAAGCCTTCTGCATGGTCTCGCCAAGCTGGATGCTACTTGGAGGTTCATGGGTAGTTATACGTGGCGCTATAAGCAGGATAACTGCATTTTATAACCCAAATGAGAAGACTTATGAGCCTACTTATAACTACCCACGGACCTCCAAAAGGCGCCCTTGTCAAAAAAGATCCGCGGAAGCCCCCTAGGAAAGCACTCTCCGCACCCCCAGCACTTAGCCTTTAAAATCCCCAAACCCTTAAACCCCTAAACCCTGCACCCTAAGCAGTTCAAAGTAGGTTGATTTCGCCAAGGCCGGGGGATTTGGGCTAAGATCCTTTGAAGTAGAAGGGATACATCTATAGTATCCTTAGGAATGATTTCTTTTATTTCTGTTCATATAATACCCAAGAGAACATTAAACATATTGTTTTACTATGGTTCTAAGGGGGGTATAGACGTGAGGATATCCCAAGCCAAACCTGAAGTAGGGTAGAGGGTGTACGGAAACTCTAGCTTCTGTGCTTGGGTAGCTTTGTGCAGTGCTCGCTCTAGGAAACTTTGCAATTAGACCAACAGGAGCGTCTTTTTCACGCGAAGTCCATGCGTGTCTTGTAACATGAAGCACGGAGACTCCAATATCCCTGAATTAAGGAATATACCTTAATTTATATTAGGATCCCTAATATGATTTAAGGCATATTCCTTAATTAAGCCTTAATTAAGGGGTATTGGGCTCTCTGGGAAGCACGGAGAGCATTTCCTAAACACATAAACACAACACATTGGAACCTGTCCGCTTTCAGGGATATGACCTTCTATAAGGCACATTTAATTGGACATTGCTTTGGCTCCCAAAGTCGCAGCCCTACAGTAGAAGCCAGAAAGTTGGAATATCATTATCGTAACCCCTTTGAGGTAAATTATAGGGGATCCTACCATGAATCCATATTCCAACTTTCTGGAGTTCCCTTTAAATCAGGTGCTTGCTCACCGCACTTCTCCCAGCAAGTGGAGACCACGTCCTCAGACATTGAGCACAACAAGGCGAAATCCAGGGTGGGCACGAAGAACACGCCGTCTAAAACACGCCCAAAATCGTGAACCTCACCCACTAGCGGAAGGAGCCTGTTTCAGATTAGGAGTGATTCCTGAAGCTGCCACGTCTAGGAACCCCCAATTAAAACCTGCGAAATTGGAACAAAAGCTCGAGAAAGTCGCTCTTGAGCAGGCATTGCGCAAGCTCGGAGCTTTCTGTCCTCCTGGCGAGGGTCTGAAGCTGGTTCTGCATCCCTATGGGCTCATTATGAGTGAGGGTTTAGGGTTTAGGGTTTAGGGCAGCTACACTACCACTACCTACTCGTAGTATTACTGTGTACCACCACGATGCCGACGGCTACGACTACCATACGCCCTCCAAAAGCATTATCGCCGCAACTACCACTACGGCTATGTCTACGACTGCGACGATATGGTCTACGACCTCGACTGCGACTGCGACTACGTAGTCTACGACTACGACGACGACAACGACTACATTTACGACTATGTCGCGACTACGAATGACTACGACTCCGACTGCGAATTCGACGACGACACTGCAACTGCTATCGATACTACTGCTACTTCTGCTGTTGCTACTACTGCTGTTTCTGCTGCGGCTACTGCTGTTACTGTTGAGACTACGGTGACGACAACTTCAACATCAGAGCTGCCACTACTATTCTTGTGACTGCTACATTACCTGGACCCTAAGGAACCTACCTTTTTTGGGTCCCTAATATGATTTCTTTATACAAGTCCTTAAAAAGGTAGGTTACGTGGGGTTAAGGTATTGCTACACTATTCGAATTGTCATTCTTGCTGTCAGGTGTTGCCATTGCCATGTGTGTTTGCGATCGTCTAGGGCGTGCAATGGTGTGCAAGCACAATGTAGGAACCTACCTGATTAAGGAACCCTGGGCCTATAACCCGAAAATAGTAGGATTCATATACGGAACCTTAATAAAGACCCAGGGTTTCTTAATCAGGTTCCTACATTAGTCGAGGCTACAAGGAGGAGTCAGATCCCGCACACTTCTGGTACTTGAGGTTCATGGTTGGTTAGACATAGGTAGGGTTTTTAAGTAGGATAACTATGGTTATAACCCATATTAAGGGGACTTACTATTATTATAACCGCGCTTATAACCACCCATGAACCTCCAAGTAGTGCTGGAAGAGGAGCAATTCGGACTTAGGGTTTATATGGCGAGTGGCACCCTTTTCTCTCCTCATAGGGATTCAGAAAGTCTCAGAGCTACAGGGCCTACACCCAAAGCCCCAACCTTAAAAACTCCGACCCGAAACCCCTAGACCCTAAACCCTAAAAACTAAAGGCTAAGCCCTAAACCGTCTACAGCTGTACCCAGAGAGCCCAATACCCCCTAATTTAAGGAATATACCTTAAATGATATTATGCGCCCTCTTATAATCTAAGGTATATTCCTTAATTAAGGGGTATTGGGCTCTCTGGGTAAAGCGCCAAAGCCTAGACTCTGAGGAAGAGCATTGAAGCGGAGGCATCAGACAAAGGCAGGTCCGCATGCCAACTGTACTTGGAGGGTCGGGGGACTTAGTAAGTAGACTTATAAGTACCCTAAAAGGGACCCTAACTTGGGTTATGGTACTTATAAGTCCTTAAAATCACCAGTTACTAAGTCCCCCGACCCTCCAAGTAGGGTTTTTTTTGGGATCCACGGCGGCTTAGGGTGTGCTTGAATCCCGAAATAACCTACCTTCAGGTCGGTGGGTGGTTTAGGCTGTAAGGTTTCATGGTTTAGTGTTATTCATCTTGGTAAGACGCCAGCAGCAGAGCACCCGAGTCAGATCTAAACCACAAGCACTAAGGGCCTAGGCCGCAAGTTTGGCTCCACTGTGCGGTCTGGAGTCTACTATGGGGGGCCTTTATACGTAGAAAAACGTTCTCGCATTTTACAACTATCAAACGGGAACCCATAAGGGTAAATTGCTTCTGGTTACCTTGTCATTTAAGGGCTTCGAGTTCAGGGACTTCATCTGCTTCAGCTTACAGGGTGCAGATTTGTTGGATCTTGAGATTGGGGATTTTCTTTTCGGCCTTTTGGACTTGGTGGTCGTGTCCGGCATGAACTTCTGCACCGAAGTGGCAGTTATCTTAGTAGGGATACTGGAGTAGAGTAGGATCTCACTGCGGCAGCTCGTTGCGTAAGATCTCCAGATCCGATTTACCACCTTACCGCCTGCGTACTTCCAATATGATCTGCACCAAACCTTCTAAGCACATCTAGGATGCCCAGTAGTACCCTTAAGGATCTATAAGGGTTCCTTAAAGGGATCTATAAGGGTTCTATAAAGGGTTTAGGGTTTCCGGCTAGGATGCCCAGTAGTGCCCTGATTCCCTTTTTGGAGTCTTTGGTTCCTTATTAAGGTACCCACTACCAAAAAGGGAGCCCTTGGTATTCCTAGGTTACTGGGCATCCTAGTCTATGCACATAGGCCCTTCAACACCAAGCCCAGGACCCCAACATCCGAATGTTCACTTTGTCATAGTTGGGGAACATTTTACATATTTTTTGGGTACTTAAACCCAATAAGGAATAAAAAATTCAAATTTTAATCCTCTCCCAACCATGAACTAGTTTAAGGGCTCTTTTAAGGGCTCCTTTAAGGTTACCCACAAGGGCTCCTTTAAAGCACCCCCGAAGCGTTGACCTCGGACAGTTTGGAGCCTCGAACTTTCATCACAGACCAGCATCTCCGACTTCCTAGCCTCAACTAAACCCTAAACCCCTAAACCCTAAACCCTAAACCCTAAGCCGCTCAAAAACAAAAAACCCTAAACCGCTTTCGGAGCCGCGAGACCAAGTGACATAGGAGCCTTCGAATTCGGAAGGGGGGCGGGGTCTCTTATCGCATGATGGGTGAGGGACCTCGGGCTTATAGGGTTTAGGGTTTGAGGGTTTTTAGGGTTTTTAGGGTTTTTAGGGTTTTAGGATTTAGGGTTTGGGGTTTCGGGTTTATGGTTTTAGGGTCTTGAGGGTTTTTCGGATTTAGGGTTTAGGATTTTGGGTTTAGGGAAGGTTTCTGCAGACGGTTATATCATCGCCCAAACCTCAAGAACGAAGCTTTCGTTTTTGGGGTTTAACGGTTCGGCTTCATACCGCACAAGCTTCCATCGCAGGCACCTGGATTCGCTTGCGCTACGCTACTTCGACGATCATTGCTGGGTTGCCGTCCAAAGGAATTCCACAAACCCTCAACCTTAAACCCTATTCCCTAAACACTCAACCCTCAACCTTAAACCCTATAAACCCTACCGTGTTTCTCACACCCCGAGGCCCTGATGGTGCCACAGCTGGGATTAGGATCACGGGCCAAAATGAAATTGCGGCACCGGGACATGAACCTGAAAGTCTGAGAGGATCGAGTTTTAGGTTGTCATGTTTTGGGTTGTGGAGGTGCCGTAGGGTTTAGGATAAAGGGTTTTTGGGACATTCGGTTTGAGGTCTAGACACTACAGCGCCATGAAGGTAAGGTCACGTTGCTCTGGAAGACTCCACAGTGTTGCTGGTCGGTTTCTCGCAGCCCTGAAGCATATCTTTGATGTGCCAGTGGCTTTATGCATCTCCTTCTCGCCCGAGTTTTACCCCTGCGCGAGCATCATCGCGCTTTGTGAATTGAAGAAACCAGGGTCCAAGTTTTGCCGCTTCCTGAGCCCTAAACCCTCAACATTACCAAGCCCTAATCCCATAATCCTCAACCAAAGGTGTAGTATTATGGAAAGCAGGCCTTAACAGTATCCCTTATCCTAGTAGTAGAGCTGAACCCTGAACCCTCCCTAAACCCTAAACCCTTACAGTATCCCTGATGAGCCCTCAGCCCAGGAGTGTTGCCAGATCAGTCGTGTTCCGGTCTCGATCTACCCCTACCTCACGGGCGGAGCACGGCGGGCCTTCGACGGCGACATGGCCCAGGGATGGGAAGGCATGGTTGCTAGGTTTAGGGTTTAGGGTTTAGGGTTTAGGGTTTAGGGTTTAGGGTTTAGGGTTTAGGGTTTAGGGTCTAGGGTTTAGGGTTTAGGGTTTAGGGTTTAGGGTCTAGGGTCTAGGGTTTGGGGTTTAGGGTTTAGGGTTTAGGGAGGGTTCAGGGTTTGGGGAGTTTCGGGTTGAAGATCTAGGGTTTAGGGTAGAGTTCGTTCTATTGTGAAATTTGATAAGGTTTTTGTGGGTGCTGTCGTCGGTGTTACTTGGGTGTTCTTGGGTTTTCTAGGAGTTTTAGCAGTGCTTCGGATTTTGCATCGGGGTGTCATGCAGTTTTGTTTTCCTCAAAGGTTTCCTCCAACATTGAGAGGTGAGTTTACGACTCCCCTCTTGGGGTACTTATTTATATAGGGCCTTAATAATTACCTATACTTATTATAGTTATGGCATAATGGCACAAAGTACCCTATTCTAATTATTCAGGCCCCTAGATTCGCTAAGCTCCGAACAGAGATTCTGCAAGCATCAAGACGCGCTTGCTTGGAGATTCGTGGGTAACTATACGTGGGGTTGAAAGGCCTGTTTTAGATGGTTTTAACTAGGGTTATCCTACTTACAACCCTACTTGTAGCTGACCATGAACCTTCAATTCAGCTTCAAGCAGAGATTCTGCAAGAATCGGCACGCGCTTGGCGACGAAAGGGATTTTCCAAGGCGGTCGAAAAACCAAATCCTCAACCCTGAGCTCAGAATTGAGATGTAGGGTCGAAGTTTGCATCTATTGTAGTAGGGGTGGGGGACATTCAGGGGTTAGGTTCAAGGTATGGGATCGGATTTTGGGATGTAGGGTTTCGGAAGTGGCTGACATGGTAAGTTCTGCTCACTCTGCTCCCTTTCCCACCCGACCTTTCGAAGCTCATGTTCATGGTAGTGGTTTAGGGTTTAGGGTTTGATGGTGACGGGGAGAGGATGATGAGGGGGGATAAGGACGAGGATGAGGATCAGGATGGGCCATGATGAGCAGAAAACATCACCGTACCAAGAAACACGGCATGAACAACCGTATACAGTAGAAGCCAGAAAGTTGGAATATCATTATCGTAACCCCTTTAAGGCAAATTATAGGGTATCCTACCCTGAAACCATATTCCAACTTTCTGGAGTTCCCTTTAGCCCCTTCGAAGCAAGCCCTGAAGGTGTCTACTGCCCCAGCACCCGCGATGACAGTGGCCGGATGTCGTTCTCACAGAGGAGGCTCGAAGAGCTCCTTCGACCTCACCGGATTCGGGTTCGGGGCTTAGTGGTTTAGGGCCTCAGGGTTGAGGGTTTAGGGGTTCAGGGTTCGGGGTTTAGGGCGGGTTCGGAGCAGGCCTGTGGGTTCAGGGGTTGAATCAGAAGGGGTTCACCTAGACCTTAAGCATCACACTGATTCCGAAACCCTTGTTCATGATTTCGGTGGACTCAAAATTTTGAATCCCAGCCCCACCACACCCTTCAGGGTTCGTCGAAGACGGTTCCGGCATTTGCACATGTTAGCTAATGCCCTGATATCAAACCCGAAACAGAGCACTTTCACAAGAACCCAGAAAATCCGAAAACTATTGCTCAAACCCTAACCCCTAAACTCTAAACCTTCCCTTGGGAGGAGTTTCCGGCCGGGTCATGGGGCAGATAAGACCCTGACTTATGTGCCTCGGCTGCTGCGAAGATGTGTGCGGAATCCGGTCTAGTTAGAAGAGGGGTTTCCTGGCATTTTTCTAACATATTCTTCTAACATATTCTAACAATTGCTATTTAGTCCGACCCCTAGATTATGCATGGAGGGGTTCGTAAATGTTCGTTGTGTTTTTGTTTGGTGGAGATGGGGGATCGAACCCCTCATCTCCCCCGAGCCCAAAACATGTTGACATAATAGAGGGCCCTAAATTTGTTGCAAATCTTATTTTTGGGGATTCCCTATCATGACTTTAGTGTTCTGGGCCCAAAACCCGATTCTAATTATTAAGGCCCCTTTTGTACCCGAGCTAATTCAAACAACCATTGCATATTGTTCTGGCCATGAACGGAAGTCGTATGCACAAATTTGGTTGACGACGACAGCACGCACCACGGGAAGCTTAAGTCCCAATTCAGAATCCCTAGTCCCTTACCATCCTTAAGCCGCAAACAAACGCTAAGGACAAGCATCATGGAAAGTGGTGCGTCTCTGGCAAGGACTGCGCCCACTCCGACGTGGCTTGATGCAGAATTGGTCGGGTGCCCTTCATAGTGTCAGAACAGTTGGTCAGTTCGTTAGAATAGCATCCCGTTACAGCCCCTGTAAAGCTGTACTCTAAAGTAACCCCAAATTGTTCTCATTTCTAAAGCCCCTAAAGACGGTGCCGAGGTTTGCGACTTTTCAGGGTCTGAGGGTTAGTTTTGGTTTAGGTCTTTCGTTTTGAAAGTTTATGTCCAGGTTTTAGCACGTAAGGTTTGAGTTGCAGCCGTACTTGATTAGAAGTATGGAGGCCGGGAAATGTTATTCGTCATTAGTCTTTCCTTATACCTATAATCAAGCTATAAGCAAATTCAAACCCTCTTCGAAATATTCAGGCCCCTGTAGTGCAGTTTCCCGCGCCCCGGTGGAAGGTGGTGCACCCATTGGACACGTCGCTGCACTCGGAAGAGTGGTCTCCCGGCCTGAATCAGGAGTTTCCGGGCTTGTTATAGCTGTGTTGAGGGCTACTAAACCAAAAAACCTGAAGCTTTGTCTGAATGGATCGGAGTGTGGGTTTAGGGGGTTCAGGGTTTAGGGTGGACGCTACACGATTGCAGCATGTAGCAACGCATGAAAAGCACTGTGCGAGTTTCCCAGTTCCCCAAGACGCAACACAAGACGCACACACCCTGCACGGTAAAGCATTCAGCTGTCAGGGTTCGATTCAGTTAGGCTCTATAAGTGCTAGGTTCCCCAGTAACACTTGTTTGCCCTTCTTCTTTCTGGGTTCCATGACTACAGTAGTAGTAGGATATGGGATTGAGAGTTTGCGAGCTCACCAAAAGTTCCGCGCACGGCTCCATGGATGATGTGTATTGCGGCGTGCATGAAGGTCCCTGGTCGGGTGTAGGCGTCTTATCCCTTACTTACAGGGCTTAAAGGATCAGGAGACTTGGTGAGAATGGGTGGAAGTACCCTACTTAGGGAGTTGTGGCACCCTGCTTACTGCGCCCCTTCCTTCTTCAGGTACTCCCCGTTTGGGGCGAGTTTCCCAAATGGTCGAGGCTCCAAACACTCCAAAGCGTAGGAACTGGGGCGTTGACCCATCCGCCCCATAGAGCCCAATCCGTTAGTTCGCAGTACACCTGAAAGTACTACTTGGAGGTTCATTTTGATATAAGCAGAGTTATAAGTAGGATAACTATAATTATGAGCCATATTCAGGGACTTATAACCCCACTTATAACTACTCATGAACCTCCAAGTAGGCTCTTTGGGGAAAAATGGACTTGCACCGCCCGCCTTCCGGGAACGCCGGCTTAAGCCAACGAAACAAAAAGAACAGAAGCCTCTGAAAGTGCCGGCTGTGCAGAAGCATAGGGATGATGATGATGATGATGACGAGGATGACTAACCATTGATATTGGAGGAGCTAAGGAGCCAGGGGTGATGATAATCCCTACTCAATAAGGACCTAAAGAGCCAAGGGAAGCCCAAAACCATTGGTTAGATGATGCACAGCATAAAGTTCATAAAATCATAATTCTGCTGACTCTTTCTTTCTCTGTCATCCAGTCGTCTGCTACTCAGGTACGTCGTGCCTGTCAGCGACTTCGACGCCATCTTCGAGGCAGCGATTTTGGGAGCAGCGCTACCGTCATCATTGCCGATGCTATTTAAGGTTTAAGATTCAGGGTTTTGGATTTTTTTATGCTTCCGGGTTCAGACCAAACCCTAAACCCTAAACTCTAAACCCTAAGCCGTCTCCCGAGCCCTCCACGGCTGCAGAGACGAGGCCAAGGGCGCCAAGCCCCTCGCCACTGCGAAGAAGAAGAAGCCGCCTCCGATGATCAAGCGGCCTGGTGATACAGGGTTTGTAAGGGCCTTAATCGTTGGAATAGGATTCCTTCAAACGGGTCTATAAGGGCGACTATCAGGGCTATTATGAGGATTTTAATATGGGGGCCTAAATAGGTACCTATACTACTTTGGGGGCTCTCGGGGTTCCAGGCGTCGGTTCAGTTTGCTGTTTTGTGGAGCGCTTCTTGTCTGTCGCCGGTTCCAGGAAGTACAGGGACAGAGTGCTGGAAGCAAAGCAACAGCTGCCACGGGGAGAGGGCCAAGCGTAGCGAGGCCATCAAACCCCAAACCCAAAACCCACAAAGCATGAAACCTCAAGCCCTGGACGCATCCTCAAGCCCAAAGTTAAACTCAATGGCATACTAAGACCCCAGCCCCAAACCCCAAGCCCCAAACCCACAGGCCTAAGCCTAAGCCCCACACCCGAAGCCTTGAACACTGTGATGTCAGGCAATCGTAAACCCCAAACCCTCGCACAACCCCTAAACCCCAAACCCCTATATAAACCCTAAACCCTAAACCCTAAGCCATGATCCTAAACCCCTAAACCCCTAAACCCCTAAACCCCTAAACCCCTAAACCCTAAACCCTAAACTAAACCCCTAAACCCCTAAACCCTAAACTAAACCCCTAAACCCCTAAACCCCTAAACCCCTAAACCCTTAAAGCCCTAAACCCCTAAACCCCTATACCCTAAGCCCTCAGACAACCTTGGAGCTGCTAAAGCGAGGTTCGGGGCTTCGGATCCCGACTACCTTCCGGAGTGCAAGGCGCAGTGGCGCACTGTAGTACACTCGGAGGTTCATGGGCAGTTATAAGTGGGGTTATAAGTCCTATAATAGGGTTATAGCTATAGTTATCCTACTTATCGCCCTACTTACAACTAACCATGAACCTCCAAGTAGTACTTTCAGGGTTTAGGATTTCGGATTTCGGGCTCGGGGTTGGGTCACTGCAGACAGTGTTGTGAGGGTTGAACGAGGGTTGGTTTTGAGGTGCATTTTGTAAGGGTTCTTATAAGGGTCTGCATAAGGTATCTATAGTCTCAAGGGGTTTCCGTGCACTTGCAAGGTTTTGCGGTTGAGGGTTTAGGATTAAATTTTTAAAGGTTTAGGGATCAAGGTTTCGAATTTAGCATTTGGGGTTACGGGTAAAGGGTTTAGGCCTTGCCCCAGACATGTCACCCTGAAGCCCCTATTAAAGGATCCTTAAGGGAGGGTGGTTCAAGGGGGGAGGGTATAAGGAATCCTTAGGGGACTGTCAGGGAACCTTAGGGAGTACTAGGGAGAATTAGGGATCACTAGGCTATATACCCCCCTTCAACCCCCCTCCCTTAAGAATACCTACCTCCAAAGTCCCAACCCCCCAAGTCCCAAATCCTTACCGAGACCCCTGAACCCCAAACCTTGAACTCTGTAACCCAAGACCGACGCTTCATAAGCCGATCAGCTTCAATCCTAAGCCCCCAGCCCTAAGACACCCCCAGAAGTGTGCAGTAAACAACCCCAAGCCCTACATACTGAGTTCACTAGCAATCCGCATCCCACCCTCCGCTTTCAAAAAACAGACTGCGTCTGCTTCCCATACCCTAAACCCTAAATCCCAAGTAAACCCTACACCGTAATTGCAGTGCAAGTTTGCGGGCTTTCCGCAGCCAACGTACAAACAGGCGGAAACGAAGCCCTTCAAAAAAACTAAGCCCTAAACTCGAAACCCTAGACAGCCCTGAACAACAACTTTCCTCCTGACTGTATCTGAGCAGGAGGAAAAAGGAGTTCAAAAAGCAAAACCAACAAAGTCTGCGAACCCTAAACCCTAAACCCGAAACCCCAAACCCGAAAGCCTAAACCCGAAACCCTAAACCCTAGGCCCTAAAAGCAGCAACGAAGTCTGCACCGCTTTTCTGCAGGACGAGTCGCACCCGGGCACCCGGAAGTTCAAGCTCGCAGAGATGAACAAAGAGGCCTACTGGTTAGGGCATTTTTTTTAGGGTTGAATGGTTTTAGGGTTTTGGGGGGTTTTAGGGTCTGGGGGGTTTTAGGGTTTTTGGGATTTAGGGCTTTAGTTTCGGGTTCCCTTTAGAGGGTACTATGTAAGGGGCTACTTTGAGGGGTACTACAATCGTGAGGATTTCGGCTTTACGGGTTTGGGTATTTGGGTTGTGGGATTGAGGTGTGAAGGGTTGAGGGTTTTCTAATTTTTTGAAGGGGGCACCCTGTGGGGTTTCTGGCTGTCAGCGTGCTTTGAAGTGTCCATTTAAGGCTTTCGGCTGAGAGGGTTTTGAAGGGGGAGGCATTGGGTTTTCAAGCGGCTGGAAAGGCGCTCGGCACTCGGGGTTTGTGGTGCTCAGAGGATGTTTCAGTTTACTGGTTTTCGGGTTTAGGCTGTTCGGGTTGCATGGGCCCTAAATCCATGAAACCCAGGGGTTGGATTCAGGGGCCTAGCGAAAGCGCTCGCACCCACCGTCAAAGCAGCGTTAGCCCACGGTACGTTCTGAAGACTCTCTAGGCGGCCATGAATCCCAGACCCCAGCTCAACTCACGTGTGTGGCAAGAGCTAGTAATTAGAAAAGGATTTTGGGCTTCCAGAAAAACCAGCCGGATCCGAAATCTAGAGACCTTCGACCAGGCCAAGAATTTGGACGACGAGAATCCGTGCAAGTGCCTTGTCCGACGACTGAGTTCTCGGAGAGACATTTCGCGAGCTGAATAGCCCGAAGCTCTCAAGCCTCAACCCCATAATCCACCCTTCAAAGGGGAAAAGGAGGGACCCTTAATGGGTATATAATAGCTATGTTAAGGGTATATACCTAGGCGTCCTTCTACCCTCGGAACCCTAAACCCCTACCTTCAAGCTTCCCTCAAGCCCAAACCCTGACACACCCTCGTCCGAAGGACTTGAGACCCCTAGGCCCTTCGAGCCCCAGGATACCCTGGGAGCCCGGAATCCCCGAACCCGAAAACCGCCAAATTCGACCCGAAACCCTGAAGCTCCACCCTTCGGGATAACCCGACACAGCAAGAGCAGGGAGAGGAAGAAGTCGTCGTCCACAAAGCCGTCGTCGCAGTGGTGCTTGTAGTCGCAGTAGCAGTGGCAGTAGCAGTCGGAGTGGCAGTGGCAAGTGCCAGTAGCAGTAGCAGTGGCGGTGGCAGTAGCAGCAGCAGCGGCAGCAGCATCACAATATCTATGCTTTGGGCGTTCTTTGTTTTCAGGGTGTTCCAAAGCAGACCCCACCCAGCAAAGCCCGAAACCCTGCTTGAAGGTTCATGGTTCCTTTTAAGCTGCTAGGACCTAGAGTTGCCTTGTTTCCTTTTTTAGGGTTCAGGTTCCCTTATACACCCCCTTTAAACCAAAAAGGGCACCCTTGTTATTCCCAGGTTACTCTTGGGTCTAGGCTGGGTTGTGACATGCTGGCCCACCGGTCGAAGAGTTGAGGGGGTAAGGCCATCGGAGAGCAGTGCTGCTCCGAAAGGGCCGAGGGTCTGGGTTTGGGGCTTCGGGGCTTATGTAGCCTAGTAGCTGAGTGGATACAGTTTACATTTTTTTGGGATAATATTACACGCTATAAAACCAAAAGTGTACAACTTTTGGGGCATATGAACTCACCAACTAAGCTTAGGGGCTTAGGGCTGATAATTGTTGGTGAGGGTTCAGGGTTCTCAGTGTTCAGGGTTCAAGTGCCTCCGAACAGAATCCTCAAGCTTCCCAAAGTTTTGACTTGGTTGGTCGGGTGACTTAGTAAGTAGGTAGTAAGTAGACTTATAAGTACCCTAAAAGGGACCCTAATTGGGTTTATGGTGCTTATAAGTCCTTAAAATAACCAGTTACTAAGTCCCCCGACCCTCCAAGAAAGGAATGTCTACGGGGTGCCGCCTACAAACCAGAAGATGGACAATGCGGACGGCATGACCGGCTGGATAAATGACCTGTGCCTCCGACTGGATACGCTCTTCAGCCCTGAGCCCCAAACCCTAAACCCGAAGTACTAAACCCTAAACCCCTAAACCCTAAGCCCTGAACCCCAAACCCTAAACCCGAAGCAGTTCACCACGACTTCAAAGATAAATTCGGGAAACCCTAGAGTCTACTGGGCTAGAATGTGTTAACACATAGGGCCTGCGATGATTAAGCTCGAAGATGACATGCAGTCGCAGTGGACTCGCTAGAAGCACTATACTACTTGCAGTACTAGCCCTTTCAGGGTTCCGGGTTTTTGTTGAAGCCCGGACAGCCCCGACCCTGTACCCCTATTGGTTTGCAAGTGCATTTGGGGTTTTTGTGCGGGCTCACCACGGAAGCCTGGAGATTCCCGTGGAGGAGCCTATGTGCGAGAGCAATCAAGTGCCGCAGACATTGAACCCAAAAGCAAGCTGCCGATCCGAGTAATTCTTCGCGCGGCTTGTTAACCATATCTTGAACCCAAGCCATGTTCCTCTGGTGGCTTGGCGTAGGGTGTAGGGTTTCCAGCATCGCAGAAGCATCGCTGATACACCTCATGCCCTCAATCCTTAGCCTAGAACGCCGTAAGACCCTCACCTGAGTGCTTCCAGCCAGCCGCACGTATAGATTTCAGAGCCTTTGCCGAGCTGTTGTAAATCACATATAAACGACTTATACAGACCCATAAGAGCCCCTCTGTAGAACTCTTGAGGTCCCTCGTAGACTCCTTGCAGACCCCTGATAGAGACTTACATCTTATAGAACCCTTATTACAGAGAGGCCTAAGCCCTAAACCTTGAATCTCGACTGAAAAATGCGGGCGTTGAGAACTTTTGTCCGCCTTCCCAGGACGGGCAACATCGGGCCCGGCCAGGGCGGAGTGACCTACAAGTCCGTGAAAGAGTGCCGGAGCCTCTAAGGGCTCGGCTTGTCAGGGTTTCAGGGTGCAAGGTCCAGGGTTTAGGGTTTCAGGGTTTAGGGTTTCGTGAGGCCCTCCAAGGGATTGGCTTGTGTTTAGGGTTTTCCTGGTTCAGGGTTTCGGCTTCAGAGTTGCGATTCGGAGTCCGGGAGCCTGGATTTTGGATGCTGAGCTCTTCGAGGATTTCGGTACCCTAAACCCTAGACCCTACACCCTAAACCCTCAACCCTAAGTTCGCAACCGGGGCCGAGGATGATCCGCCTTTTCAGGCTTATGGCCTGCTGGGTGTTGGGGGGTATGAGCGTCTCACGAGAAAGTACCAGGTGATCTAAGAAAATGAGGCTACCGTAAACATTTGGGTCCTTGTCCTCACAAGGATCCATGAATACTATAGGAGCCTAAATAATTACGTATACTATTCTGGGGGTTCCTTATTATATCAATAGCATAGTGGCCCCCCCAAAACCGTATTCTAACTATTACGGCCCCTCTATTAAGGTACCCCAAAGCCCAAGAAACTCCAATAGGTCAGGGTCAGCTTGTGTCTCTGCCCTTTGCTGAGGCAGTGACCGTGACATCGTCCGGGACCTCCAGATGGCAAAGTGGAACAAGGACACACAAGGGGCAAAGATAGTGCCAACATTCAAGCAGAACTCAAACAAGTGTAAGCCACACCGCACACCCCATGTGGGTGGTTGTCAAGATTATGGTCCCTTTTTAGGTCCTTATTATAGTACGGCACCTAATATTTAGTGTACCCAACAAGGGGCCATAATTTTGACGACTACCCATGTGTCTAGCCATGTTGGGCATGTGTGAGGCTTGGAATCAGTGTGTCCACAGGGGGCCAGCCTGCTGTTGACCACCACAGCTGCAGTCGCAAGCAGCATCAGCATCTTTAGGAAACTCCGTATCACCAACACCGCCATCGCATCACGGGACAGCTCCTGCTGCTTCGCAAAACATGCAGACGAAGACACCAACGAGAGCATACTGATCCTCTGAAGCACGGGCCCCTGCTTTAGCCGATTAGGCCCAAAAGCCTTAATATACCTAACCCCTAAACCCTAAACCCTAAACTCAAAAGCCTTAATATATGAGCGCTTAGATCCCTAGGGAACGCTCTATCAGCTCAAGAGCTTCTGCTGGGCCTCATTCTCACCCTGCAGCTCCATAAGCTCTCCGTAAGCCGTAAACTACTTCCGTCCTAAGCGCTGATCCCTAAACAAACCCTTAGGGGTTTTGGATCTAGGGTTTAGGGTCAAAGCCCAAAGCCAAAAACCACCCTGAGCCATCTCAAGAGGGTAGCCCTCCAAGCATCTTCTACAGGCGCACTTTGACTCGACGCTGCCCATGGACTTCCTCAAGGAAATCGCAGGGGTTGGGGTGGGGTTTGGGGTTGAGGGTTCAGGTATCGTGGGGTTGGGATCGGGGAGGGATTCGGGTCTTCGAGGTCTGAAGGGGTTTTAGTGTCAGTAGTTTAGGTTCTGGACGCGTGCATAAGGGTCGAGGGTTTCCGCTAGGTTATTTACGGTGCGGATGCTGCCCAGAGAGCCCAATACCCCTTAATTAAGGAATATGGCTTAAATCACATTATGCGCCCCCTTATAATTTAAGGTATATTGCTTAATTAAGGGGCCCCTTGGGCTTTCTGGGTGTGTTTTGAGGAGGGGGCCTGAGCGACAGATCTAGCTTGAGCGAGCCCCGCAGCGAGCGCAAATGACTTGGCTCAGGTGTGTTGGGAAACTGTCGGAATCGAAGATGGGATCATTCATAAGAGCCCAGAGAGCCCAATACCCCTTAATTAAGGAATATACCTTAAACTATTTCCCTGGAGGGTCGGGGGACTTAGTAACTGGTTATTTTACGGACTTATAAGTACCATAACCCCAATTAGGGTCCCTTTTAGGCTACTTATAAGTCTACTTACTACCTACTTACCAAGTCCCCTAAAGACCCTCCAAGTAGGCGTTAGGGCATCGGGCCGAGCTTAGATCGGAAGTCGAGTCTGCGAGGAGTTTGGGCTTTGGGAATTTCAGGGTTTAGGGGTTTTGTAGGATTCAGGGGCTTTTTTCCACCCTAGACTGTCGACCCGAAACCTTAGATCTTACACCCTAAGCCCCAAAACCCTAAACCCTACGCCCTAAAACCCTAAGCCCTAAAACCCTAAACCGCTCCGTTGTTCGTGTAGCAGCGTAGGCACCAACCCGACGTCGGAGGTCACTGGAGCTTCTTGTCACCATGTCTTGTGGTGTTTAGGGTCTAGGGTTTAGGAGTTTAGGGGTTTAGGGTTTAGGGGGTTTAGGGTTTAGGGTTTAAGGGGTTTGGGGTCTAGGGTTTAGGGTTAGAAAAATATCTCTACGCCCTAAACCGTTCGTAGGGTTTCCAGCCGGGAGGATATGCTGGCCGGCTACGCTGATGGAGTGCCGGATGTTGAGGCCGGAGCTACTACTGTCTTACTTCCTTCATTATGGCCACTTTTGCTTTTCTTGTTATCTTCTTCACGCTCTGTTTTCTGCTCGCATGCATGCAACTGCTGACCCTTTCTATTGTTGCTATTTAGTGTTATCATGGTCATAAACAAAAGGGTTTTTGGCCCGTATAAATCCGAATAAAAGTCTGCTCGCTCCATCCTTGCCAGCATCTAAAACTTCGTTCTCTAAGTCAGAGTTCTTCGTCGGATCCCCAGCAGATGGTTGCACTTACGATGAGAGCCCTTCAAGAGAGCATCTCACCCATACTCCGCGCGTGCCACTGCCGTGATGTTCTGGATAGATTTTCGGAGTCGCCTTGGTGGTTTGAATGTGGATGGAGGAGGACCCAGAGACTCCAATATCCCTTAGGTAAAGGAATATCCCGTAAGTTATAGTAGGATCCCTAATAATACGAGTTAAGGGATATTCCTTAATTTTTCGAAAAAACACAAGTTAAGGGATATTCCTTAATTAAGGGATATTGGAGTCTCTGGGGAACTAGCTGCGGTTTTGGAAAGAGGGCTCGGGGTTGACCTCTTTTTCACGTGACGGAGTCCAGGGTTGCGAGGGCGAGTGAGGGTTTTCTTTGTCGAGGATTGTGGGGCCAGCTTCCCGGTTTAGGGGGTAGGGTTAAGGATTTAGGGTGTAGGGTGTAGGGTTTAGGGTTTAGGGTTTAGGGTTTAGGGGTTGATTCGAAGACTTCCGTCTTTTCGCAAACGGATGCGGTGCCGTGGTATGAGTTCGGTCGGTGTTGCAGTCGATGCAGGCCTGTACTAGAAACCTAAACCTAAACCCTAAACTCCTACAGCTTCTGCAGCAAGTGCTGCAAAACCCGTCTCCTTCTGATTTAGGTCTCTGCCGTAGGCGGTGGCCTCTTGACATGAAGACTCCGCATGTCCAAAGCCTGCACATATGGGTAGTTTTCAAAATTAGGGTCCCTTTTCGGCTCATTATTACAGTTACAATACGGCACCTATTATTTAGGGTACCCCAAAAGGGACCCCAATTCTGACAACCACCCATCTACGACTAGGTCCCTCAAAATCATCCTTATTATATGGTTTCAGCGGACTTGATTCCATCATAGTTTCCGAGAATAGGGGATCCTCTTATGGTACCCTAAATAGTAGGATCCGTATAAAATGGATCCCAGAATAAGCTACCCCTGATTTTCGGAAACTCCCATGCATGGAGCCTCTAGGTTGAGGTCTAAAAGATCGGGCTCGGGGCAGAAGTATCGCAAGGGCTGCCTGGCTCGGGGCGTTTGTATCTCAAGGAATTTTCCGACGCCAAGGCTGGAAATACTGCATGATTGCATGTACGTTCTCAGGATTTACGTTTATACTCTGAGGTTGTAAAAACCTGATGACCAGGCAGCACATTTTCCCAAACGAACCCTAAACTTTAAACCCTCAGCCTTAACCCCTAGACTCTAAACTCTGAATCAGGATGCCGGCGCTCTCGCTACCCTGTAACGCTTGCAGAACTTTCTTGAAAAGTCGACAACGGGGCTGCCCGTTGATAGCCTAAACGACTGCGAAGTCAGGTACTTGAGAGCTCTTAAAGCAGCCCTTACACCCGCCCTTGCAGTACCCCTAAAGGAACCCGTAAAGGAGCCCGAGTTGGTTCTGGTCAAGGACCCCCGCTATACTACAGGCTTTCAGCCTTTTGTAGCCCTTACAGTATCCCTGATAAAGGAGCCCCATTCTATTTCGTAAGCCCCCAGTATAGGCCATAGGCTTTCAGCCATGTTCTCGCGGCGAAGATGGATTGCGGGCCAGCTCATGGAGAAGAAGGAGCTGGTATGAAGCCCGATAGGAATCCCCCCCCCCACAGGATCCCTGAAGGGAATCCCCAGAAAGCAACCACAAAAGGAGCCCTAAGAAGAGAGCCCAAGGCTTGCGAAGAGCTTCTTTTCCCTAGATCCTGACAGGAGCCTCAAAAGGAGCTCACACCCAAGACAAAAATCCCAAAAGGAACCTCAAAGGATCCCTTGAAGAACCCCTTACGGTTTAGGGTTTAGGGTGGACTGTAAACCCCATAAGAAGGACCCTCAAAGTGTTCAGGGTTTAGGCTGTTTATGGTTTGCGACAAACACCCGCAAGGACTTGTCAAGGACCTTATAAGACCCTTAAAGTGTTTAGGGTTTAGGGTTTAAGGGACTTAAACGACCCCATAAGAGGACCTTCTGTTGATGATGCAAATCCTGCATTACCCATAGTAAGGAATATACCATAGTTCCCATAGTCTATGCTCCTTAACGTAGTGCAGGATTTATGTCATCAACCGCAGGGTTTAGGGTTAAGGGTAAAGAGGAGCTCAAAGGGTTCATCCGCTCAGTGGAGAAGCATCCGCCCCCGAAGTACCAGGCTGGGCAGGTTGTAATTCTGACATGGTTCTAGAAGGGTTCCATAAGGCTTCTATGAGGGCTTATAAGGGTTCTGTAAGGATTCTGTAAGGGTTCAACAGTTTTGTGGGTTCTATCAGCGTTCTGTAAGGATTCGCTGGTTCAATCAGGGTCTGTAAGAGTTAAAGGCTTAGGGTTCTATACTTGCAATAGGGTTTTGTGGCGGGAGTAGGGTGTGAGTTTAATGAATTGGGGCTTTCGGCCTTTGGCAGCTACCCTAAACCCTGAGCCCTAAACCCGAAACAGGTCAGGGTTCGGGGTTAAGGGCGCGATCAAGGTTCTACTTCAACCAGTTTCGGGGTTTGGCCCTATAGCCCCTACCGCCTCGAAGCGCCTCGAAGACCGAAATCGCTTGAAGAACCCTGCTAGAACCCTTGTCGAACCCCTTTAGCAGCCTTTTTCGTAACCTAAACCCTTAGCCCTAAACCCGAAGCCTAAACCCCAAACCCTAAACCCCAAACCCTAACCCCAAACTGGTTGAGGCCTTGGAGGCGATGCTCATTGGCATCTGCATCGCTTGCTTCTGTCTGGACGGCAGCTCGAATGAGGAGGAATCCGTCCGTGCACTGACTGTGGAAGATGCGACGAACCTCATCTTCTGCTTCTTTCCAAAGTTCAAGGCTTGGGGTTTGAGTGCCTAAGGGTGTGTTTAACGGTTCTACAAGGGTTCTTGTAGGCTTCTGTCTGGGTTTGAGTTGCTTCGTTCCTGCATTGTTGGAAGGGTGCATGGGAGTTGGGGTTTGTGGGATTCTGCGCGTTACTTGGAGGGTCGGGAGACTTAGTAAGTAGTCTATTTTTATGGACGTACAAGCACCATCATGACCCCATTAGGATCCCTTTTGGGGTACTTCTACTTCTACTTATTACCCATATTTAGGGTTTAGGGTTTTACGAGTTTAGGGTTTAAGGTTATATACCAAGTCCCCGACCCTGCAAGCGCGTCTTGGCAATCTGAGGCTTGGAATACCTCTCCCGCGCCTGGGCCAACGGGTTCAGCATGAGGCAGGAGTACGTAGGAGGGGTTTAGGGTTTAGGGGTTTAGGATTTAGGGTTTGGGGAGGGGTTGGGTTTAAGGGCTTCCGGAAGCCTATACAAAACATATAATAATATTATTTGTGCTACAGGAATAGAACGCATACGCCAAAACCCGGTTCTTCTCCTGAAGGCATCTAAATCAGCCCATGAAGCCCTGAACTTCAAGCACTTCTTGCGGGTTGTGGGCTTTTTCCATGGCCATACCCAGGCCCAAACCCTGAACCCTCAACCCTAAACCCTAAACCCCTAAACAGCCCCTGATGCGTCTCTGGGTCTGGGGTTTAAAGGTATAGGGTTTCGGGATTTGGGAGTTTCCGAAAATTAGGGCCTACCTCATATGGGGTCCTTATAATAAGGATCCTGCTGATTAGGGTGCTATTTTAGGGTCCCTATTTTCCCCGTTTAGGGTTTAGAGTTTAGGATCATACAAGAGGTACCAGCAAGGACTAAGTGTTCAAGAACTCTCCCCAGGTGGTTCTTCAAAGGCTCCTCCGTCATTGACCTGCTGTCCTGCCTTCCCATTGTGGAGAAGGTAGGAGGAGAACCGAAAGCTCCAAAAAGCGGTTCAAGGTTTAGGGTTTAGGGTTTAGGGTTAGGGTGAACAGCCCTGTCAAACCCCTAACCTTTGTCATAGTTGGGTAACACTTTAATTTATGGGTACTTTTAAACCCAATAAGGAATAAACGTTTACACCTTAATACTATCCCAACCCTAAACCCCTAACCCTAAACCCTAAACCCCTAAACCCCTAAGCCCCTAAACCCTAAACCCCCAAACCCCTAAACCCCCTAAGCCCCTAAACCCCCAAACCCCAAGCCTAGGTGGCGTCCCTGGATCCCTCTTCGGAGATGAGCCTCGAGCTGACTCTGCTCCGATCCGTTCGCTTCCTGCGGATTTTTCGGCTGCTGAAGTCCACGGCCATGGTGGAGGAGGGCGGTTTGGGATTTAGGGTTTAGGGTTTAGAGTTTAGGGTTTAAGGGCTTGGCGGAGGAGGGCCCTTCTTTGGGGTGAGGATTTAGGGTGTTTAGGGTTTGGGGGTTTAGGGTTTGGGGTTTAGGGGCTTGGTGGAGGAGGGCCTTTGGGGGCTTATGGGTTTGGGGGTTTAGGGTTTGGGGTTGAGGGGCTTTTGGGGCTTAGGGTTTTGGGGGGTTTAGGGTTTGGGGTGTAGGGTTTCCAGGGAGTTTAGTGGAATTTGTAGGATCCTGATGAGGGCTTGATGTCTTCCAAAGAACCAAGCAGAGCTTTGCATAATGCTTTTTAGGTTGAGGGGCTTAGGTTTAGGGTGTTCAGGGGGTTTGGGGCTTTAAAGGTTCGACGTTCAAGGCATGAGGTGGTTAAGGTTTTGAGAGCTTCCTGTTTGCGGGGTTTGGGTGCCAGGGATTTTGGCGCCTTCGCCGAGACAGAATCTACCTATAGTCTCCATTGTAATTCCATTTTTGGTTTAACAAACTTTTATATTAAGGATCCTAGGAGGTAACCCCAAGAAGGAACTACAATGGAGACTATAGGTAAACCTTGTCGAGCAGGTGGCAGAGTAAGGTCTGTGGTCATCGGGTTGCACTATACATCAGGAACCCTGAACCCTAAACCCTAAACCCTAAACCCTAAACCCTAAACCCTAAACCCTAAACCCTAAACCCTAAACCCTGAGCTGATTCTTTGATGGGGCCTTGGGGGGTGGGAGCCTTGTGGTTTCATAGGGACCCTTAGGGGTGTAGGGGGGAGGGTGTAGGGGACTATATTTCCTTAAATAGGCCTTACTAGTCCTTATTATGGGCATTAAGGCCCCCTACCCCCCCTCCCCCTACACCCCTAAGGGTCCCTATGATGGTTGTTCCTTCCCTGATCCAGGATCGGAACGGCCGGAAGCGCAGGTCCCTGAGCCTCTCGGTGATGCGGATTCTGGTCTCCGCCGTGGGCACCCTCTCTATTTCCGCGGGTCTGCTCTGGAGGGTGGAGGGTAAAAATGGGATCAACCCCTCTATCAACTCCTTCGGTGACGCCTGCTTCTACATGCTCAACGTCTTCACATCCCAGGGAGCGCCCTTTCCTGTGATGAGCACGCAAGGCAGGTTCGTGACAGCAGCTGCCATCCTCATAGGAGCCCAGGCCTGCATCTTGGGAACCTGTCTTGCACTTTCGACAATGAGGCCTGCATCTAGCCCTTCTTATTTTCGGGGTCTCCTTCTTATTTTGAGGGTATCCTTCTTATTTTGGGGTCTCCTTCTTATTTTGGGGGTCTCCTTCTTGAAATCCAAGAGTAGGAAATACAGGGTACTCTGCTTACTATTCACTTTTACTACTCCTATTCCTACTCCCATTCCTGCTACGGATTACCATTGCCAATACCATTACCATGACAAAGAGTATCATTCAGGTATTGAAACCCAAATTAGGGAAAACGATACTCTGCTGACATTATTTCTACACCAATTACTATTATTTAACAGTATTGTCAGCAATACCATGAGTATGATAAAAAAAAGTGTCATTCAGGTCATTACTAGATTGCTATGTTGCTATACTGCTATGTTACTATACTTGGAGGGTCGGGGGACTTAGTAAGTAGGTAGTAAGTAGACTTATAAGTACCCCGAAAGGGACCCTAATTGGGGTTATGGTACTTATAAGTCCTTACAATAACCAATTACTAAGTCCACCGACCCTCCAAGTATCACTATATTGCCATTATAAATAATCCCTAAACCCTAAACCCTAAACCCTAAACCCTAAACCCTGAACCCTAAACCCTAAACCCTAAACCCTAAACCCTAAGCCCTAAACCCTAAACCCTAATCTTTTGAAGCCGCTGCTGGGGAGCCCAGGAGTGCTCTCGCTGCCCGTGCAAGTCTCGGAGCTCCTCTCACTCTTGCGCAGCATGAAGCAGCTTGGCCCATCTTGGGAGCCTTTCCCAGAGAGCCCAATACCCCTTAACTAAGGAATATAGCTTAAATCAGAATATGAATAAGGTATATTTCTTAATTAAGGGGTGTTGGGCTCTCCGGGTTCTGCTTTCTAGGGCCTAGGTGTGTTGTTTCGGGTCCTGGTTTGGGTTTCTTAGGCTTTTAAAGGACGGTCCCCCCCCACAAAACACGTAAAGGCAAGAGGAGGAGCGCGAAAGGGTCAACAGCATCGACAGCTGCATCGTTCTCGCCAGTGGCTCCTCCGCAGCTGCCGTGGCGGCCGTGGCGGTGGAAGAAGCGCCCTCCGAAAAACTGGACCCTGAGTTCACGGTGCCCACGCCCACCGCGGACAGCCTTGGCAGCAGCGCATCTGGCTTCCTTAGCATCTCTGTCGAAGACTTCTGCCGGGAGGCTGGGGTGGAGAGCACAGCCCTAGGCGTCCCGATTCTGGACGCAGACGTTGGGGATTTCTTCACCGTCCTGGAGGACGTTTCCACGGCTGAGCACGTCGTGCCGGAGCCCCGATCCCGGGTGAAGCTCCTCGCAGCGCTAGTGCGCCGGAAGCCTGGGTTTGGAGTACCATACTTGAATACTCTTTTTGGTCCCTGCTCCTTAAAGGAACCATTATGAAACAAAAGTCTTTACTTTTTTCTGCCTGGTTACTTCAAAGTCGAGGAAGAGGCTCTACAAATCCGACATGCGCGCGAAGAGCCCGAGCGGCTAAACCGCGTCAGCGGCTCTCCGAAAAAGCGTCTCCCCGTTGAGGGCTAAGGGTTTGGGGGTGTATTAGGGGCTAAGGGTTTTGAGTCAACGGCATCTCCTGGTGAAGCACTCCACAGTACTCCGCAACATCGGCATCAAGAGTGTCGAAACCAACGCAGAAACCACTGACAAGACAATGATGGTGGTTCTGCATGGTTTTACCTTCCATGTTGTTGCCTGAGTCATGACGCGAGGCGGTCGTACCAACGCTAGATTCCTACTTGGAGGTTCATGGGAAGGTACAGGTAGGGTTGTAAGCAGGATTACTACAGTTATAACCCATATGAAAGGACTTATAACCCCACTTATAACTGCCCATGAACCTCCAAGTAGACCCAAAGACTTTGTCTCGAGCCATCAAGCAGCCATGAAACTCATTTCGAAGCCTTAAACTCCCAAACCCCCGAACCTTAAATCCAAATCTCCCAAACTCCGACTCTAAACTCCTTCGGCCCCCTAAACCCTGAAGCCCTAAGCCCCGAAACCCGCAAGACCAAACCCCAAGCCCCTAAACTCCCAAGCTCATTAAACCTTATAACCCTAAACCCTAAACCCTAAACGGGCTTTCGATAAGCACTCTGCAGTTCGAAAAGGAGCCCTTAAAAACAAAAAAGAAACCCTAAACCCTAAAAAACACCGGAGGATGACTCCCTAAGAGGCAGCTCCCCTCGGTGCGGGCTTCGAATTTCAGCCGGGCGCCGCTCTAAATCTTTTCGGCGGGGGCCTCGACGTGACGCCTGTGCCAACCAGTGAAGTCTAGTGGGGTTTCGAAGAAGAGTTTGAAAGGGTCTCTGTAAGGGTGGTGGGGTTTGATGAAGTATCATTGAGCACGGCAGATTTTATGGGGAATCCCGGGTGCCTTAGTAAGGAAGCGCTCGTCTGTACAGCTTCGTCGTGCTTTGCTCCTTCGCCCTTGTTGGGGGTGAGCTTGCTGAGGCCAAAGCCTGAAGCCCAAGACTGAGAAGCAGAAATGGGAGTTTCCGAAAATTAGGGGTGCCGTTTTAGGGGGGTCCTTATAATGAGCATCCTACTATTTAGGGTCCTATATTAGGGTCCCCTATTTTCGGAAACTCCCAAATGAAAGCCCCAGAATGTCTGAATTTGGAAGCCACTACGAAGACCTGATTAACAGAGTTCCCCGTAATAGCGTCACATGCAGCCCCGAAGCTTTCACCCCGCGACCCCTGAACGCGCAACCCTCCGCTGGAACCTACAGTCTCAACCTCCACGGAATCGGCACAGCACCCCATGCAGAGCCCTTTCAATCACAGGAGACGAACGCCCCAAACCCCCGCACTAAACCGCAGGGTTGAAAGTTGAAAGTTAAGTGCCTGGCGGCCCTCGAAACTCGAAATTGCTCTTCTTTAGCCCCAAACCCTGAACCCTCAACCCTAAACCCTGAACCCCAAAACCGTGAACCCCTGAACCCCTGAACCCCAAAACCCTGAAGTCTGAAGGCACCATGTACCTCAATGCCATACACATGGATCTCGACGCCCTACAAGCCAGGCCCCCCGCCCTCCGGATTTGGGTCCACAGATATGGGGCTTTCCGAAAAGAGGGGACCCTTTAAAGGGTTCCTTAAAGGGATCTATAAGGGTTCCATAAGGGGTTGAGGGTTTAGAGTTTCCGAAAAGAGGCGACCCTAATATAGTACCCTAAGTAGTAGGATCCTTGTTAAAATGAGGTACCCCCCCTAATTTTCGGAAACTCCCATATGGGCTTTCCAGCTTCAGGTCAGGACAGGACTTAAGCCCCAAGAAAGTTTGCTGAGCTTCCCGAAACACAAGCCGCAGCCCTTAAGATCCTTCTAAAGTCCGCAAGAAGACCGTTGTAAAGCCCTTGTACAGCCCTTATCCATCGCAGGGCGGTCACACGAGTCGACTTTTTCTCTGCCCCTTTTGGCACATCAGAGGGCCCTTATCATCAAAGAAAGCCCTTGCGAAATCATATGGTAGTTTCCGAAAATAGGGGAACCTAATATAGCATCTAAATAGTAGGATCCTTATTATAAGGACCCCAAAATAAGGTACCCCTAATTTTCGGAAACCCCCATATGCATCCGAGTAGAACCCGCCTTCTGGAGCCCCGACGTCTCGAAAGATCTTGAGCCCTTCCTGCTTCGGTTAAGTGCTGAGAGTTTAGGGTTGAAGGGGTGTATTGCTGAGGGTTTAGGGTTTAAGGGGTTTAAGGTTTAGGGTTTAAGGGGTTTAAGGTTCAGGGTTTAAGGTGTACCTCACTAAACAAGCTCCGAGTCAAGGGGGTTTAGGGTCCTTAGGGCTCTTGCAGGTATACCCCTGAGCCCTCAACCTTAACATGGGTTTGGGGATACAAGAAATGGTTTCAGAGTTTAGGGCTCTTGGGGTTCTTCAGAGAGCTGTTGGGGTTTTCTGAGTTCTTTGTTTGGGTTGTGTTCTTCGTTTCAAAAAGGATCTAGGCTAAATCTACTACTTGGAGGTTCATGCGTAGTTATAAGTGGGGTTCTAAGTCCCTGAATATGGGTTATAACTATAGTTATCCTACTTTCAACCCCACTTATAACTACCCATCAACCTCCAAGTAGTTGAGGGTTGTCTTGCGTCCACGTTGCTCTTGCATTTTGGGCGCGAGGCAAGAGAGGCGTTTCGAGCAAGCCGGGCATGACGACTGCAATCCCATCCAGCGCGCCACCCGGAGGGGGCTTGGGGCGAGGGCGCCTGGGGCCAGCAGCCTACGTCGTAAGGAATTGTGTAGGAGAAGCAGGCAGGCCCTAAACAGATGCTGCAAGGGGCACAGAAACGGTTGAAAGTAAAACGGGTCAACCTCAAACGGTATATCATCCCGCAGCTATATCTATCTATATTATATATGTATATCTATATACATAAATAAATAAATATGAATATATATATACACACACACACAAAAGTGTAAGTGGTCTCATACCGCTTTACTTAGGCCGACTGCTTTGTCTTGGTATATCGAGGGGACCCCGTCTTCGGAACAGACCTCGAAGTTGACCTGTGAAGCTTGCAGGGAAGTAGGCTCCTAGGCCTCCCCCTGGGCCCCTTTTTCCCCTTTTTGTAGTCCTACGGTTGATGATATAAGTCCTGCATTACCTTAATGGCCCTAGACTATGGGAATTATGGTGGATTCCTTACTGCAGGATTTCTATCATCAACCGTAGGTTCCTTGTAAAGTTACCCAATACCCAAAAGGGAGCCCTTTTCACACCTAGGTTACTGGGCATCCTAGGCTCGGAGTTTCGGGTGCTACCCAGACCTTCAAATATTCCTTAATAATGATATCAAGGAATATACCTTAAATTAGAATAGGATCCCTTAATATTATAAGTTTAGGGTATATTCCATAGTCAAGAGATATTGGAAGGTCTGGGTATGGAGGTGAAGGAGGCTAGGATTCAGGGTTTAGAAGGGTTTAGGTGGGTTCGGAGTTTGGGGTTTCGGAGTTCAGGGTTCAGGGGTTTGGGTGTAGAGTTGAGGGTAGGGGCGTAGGGTTGGCCTGCAGAAGTTTGGTGTCAAAGGGTGTGCTTTCCCCACCATTACGCAGAGACTCCAATATCCCTTAATTAAGGAATCTTCCTTCAATCATATTTGGGATCCTACTATAATTTGAGGAATATTCCTTAGTTGAGGGATATTGGAGTCTCTAGGTACTACGGTCCTCGTCGGATCCTCAGTGCTGCACACGTGGTGAGCCCTGCTTTAGAGCATCCCTGAACCCTAAACCCCAAGCCGAGACAAATCCCCACCGCTGCACCCTAAGCCCTAAATCCTGAACCCTGAACCCCAAAGCCTGAACCCCGCTGTGCCTCACCCGTCTGTCGGAGTTGGGATCTTTCAAAGCTCCAGAGCCAGGGCAAGGTGTACACCAAAATACCCGGCACCCCAACCCAACCCCCAAACCCTGAGCCCCTAAACCCTAAGGCACCACTGAAACCCTGAAAAGCTCTCGAGCCCGAATCCCTGAAGCCTTAAAGCCCCAAGCCCTAACGGGCTTGGGATGGAGTTTCCTTTAAGCCGGGAACCTCCAAGAACCACTAGCTTTAGTGTTTCGTACTCAGGAACTCTTAGAGCCCCCTGTCCGGCCTTTACCAACAAGGGTGGTTGTCAAAATTATGTTTCCTTTTTGGGTCCCTAATATTGTACGGCACCTAATATTTAGGGTACCCAAAAAGGTACCCTAAATTTGACAACCACCCACAAAAGGAACCTGAACTGCCGGACCCTAAGCCCGAAACCCTAAACCCTAAACCCTGAACCCCTGAACCCCTAAACCCTAACCCCTAAACCCTAAACCCTAAACCCCTAAACCACTAAACCCCTAAACCCTAAACCATATACCCTAGACGCTAAACCCCTAAACCCTAAACCCCAAACCCCTAAACCCTAAACCCTAAGCCCTAAACCCTAAGCCCCTAAACCCCTAAACCATAAACCCTAAACCCCTAAACCCTAAACCCTAAACCCTAAACTCCTAAACCCCTAAGGCACGGCTTCGCCCGGACTTTCTGCGACCTCCACTGCATCCGAGATGCCGTGCGCTTCCGGGCTGCGAACGGTTCAGGGGGTTTAGGGTTTCGGGGTTTAGGGTTTAGGTTTTAGGTTTCAGGGATCAGGGTTTAAGATTTAGGGGTTTAGGGTTAAGGGGGGATTGGTACCCAAAAAGGACATAAGCATAAGCATTTTATAGTGATATCCCTACCTTATTGGGCTTCATTATAAGGGGGGTTATGTGGCATATCCCTATCCAAGTTTTTGCTTATGTGCTTTTTTGGGGCCCTAGAACAGCTTCAGCGGTTTTAGTGTTTGGGGTTTAGAGGTTCAAAAGTTCAGGGGGTTTAGGTTTAGGGGTTAGGTTTTAGGGTTCAGGGGTTTAGGGGTTTCGGGGTTTAGGCTTCAGGGGGTTAATTGTTTCGGGTTTAGCTGTCCATTGATATTGGAGGAGCTAAGGAGCCAGGGG